GAATTATTTCCTGCACTGAGATGCATAGTTGAATATAAACTCGAATTGAAATTCGGTATCCGAGCTAAATAGATACCACATAAATGACATATACAAAAAAGTAGTCACAAATAATCGCCCAAATGTAAAGTATTCAGAAGTCAAGACCGCAAATGTATGTACCCTTTCAACGCCAAAAACCCAAGTCATCAATCATCAAGGGCCCACTTCTATCCGCCCCTCTTTTGGTCCATGGCACCCTGTTGAAGGTGATCCAATACGCTTTTCAAATACAACACTTTTTCCATCTCGAGCTGACAAACTTAAGCTCCCTGGATCGCCTCGGCGGCCTTTGCCTTGAGACGCTCATTGCGCTTCATACGCCACCCAGCACCCCACCTCATCTCAACCATCAATAACGGAACCATGGCCAAAGTAAGACCAGCCAGCAAAACAAAACAGAACAGCGAGCCAATGGCATCAATGATCGGCGTGACGAGAGCGACACCACCCGCACCGATCAAGCACCGCATCAGATTATTGACCGCAGTAGCACTAGCACTGGCTCCCGGGTAGAGATCAATGATCAGAGCACTGTTGATAGTAAAGATAGCAGTAGCGCAATAGGCGATAATATACTGCAGAATAATCGGGACAGCGAGGTGTGTACGGAGCGAGACACCATAGACAGCCGTACACACAACAAACAAGGCCGTGATCCACCAGGTGTTCCGCATACGAGCATACTCGATGGGAAAGTCGGCGTGTGTCTTGGTGGTAATCCGGGTATCGAGAGGCAGATTGTTCTGTCGGCAGTAATCACGCTCCGTGCGCTTGTGGTTGTAATCCATTAGGTAGCCGATAGTGTAAGAGCCAGACATGCAGCCAAAGCCGTTGCCCAGGAAGGTCAAGCCAACCTCCAAGGTGTTCAGACCGTAGGTTTCTTCGAAGAGTTGCGAGGTAGAGGATGTGACCATTGACCAGACGGTGTACACGATCGCACCGAAGAAGAGGGTGATGAAGACGTCCTTCTCACCGAGGAAAGTAAGGGGAGCCAAGACGGTCTTCCAGGTAACCTTTTTCTTCTCCCCAATAGGCTTTGCGTTTTCATTAACGTCGGGCTGGCCGGTGAGGTAGTAAATGTAGGGCTTATGAAGGCCGTGAAGAGGGACAGTGCCATTGCCAGCAATGGAACGGAGAGTCTCGGGCAGGAAGCACATGATCGAGAACAAGCTGATAGCGGCCAGGATAGTAAGGAACCAGAAGATAGATCTATAGCCCAGGTACTGAGACAACACTCCACCGAAAACAGGGCCAACACCTTGGCCCAGCATTCGTACTGATGAGATCTAGTCAGATACCAAGTTTGATGGGAAGATAATTGGAATGACTAACCTCCTCCAAAGATTCCTACAAGACTTCCTCTCTCGGCTGATGTGGTGATGTCCCCGATTACACCTGCACCGATTGAGATGGTCGCTGCACTGCCTGCAGCTTGTAGTGCTCGGAAAGCCATCAACTCTCCATAGTTTGTAGACACTGCCAACGCAATGTTCGCAATCATATAGACAATGAATGTTCCAATGAAGATGCCTCGTCGACCAATGGCATCGGAGAAGGAACCCCAGAAGCTGGGGGCGAGTCCTTGCACAATCATGTATACGGTAACAGTCAAGGTAGTTAAAGACATTGAGACATCCAGTTCCTAACTGACGTAAGCATTGGTTGTCGTGAATATCCAGAGCCCGAGAACTGACCTTTGATATAGTTCCAAGAGCGGGAAAGTAAATGTTGGACGAGAGCGGGGAGAAGATCGCAGCTAATGAGACGATGCAGACCATCTGTAATTTGCGGGAGCGAGTGAAGACATGGTATGGCGGTGGCGGAGGGTCTTGTTTCTCAAGATTGAAGGAGTTTGAAGAGGTGGAGGAGGTAGGCGATGGAAGGTTCTTATCATCTTGGGCGTATAGATTAGGGGACAAAGTAGGGCTGCTGGAACTGCTGCTGGAGTGAATAGAACGCTCAGTGACGACGGCGTTCTTTTTGAACTCCTCTGAGTTCAAAGACATTATGTATAGTGGAAGTGAACACGTCTGATCTTAGAGTGCATAAGTCAAATAATATAGTAAATATAGACAGGGAGAAACAGGAGAATCAGGATTTCAACTCTAGACTACTCCCTCCAGACCGGTAGGGCACGGAGCCTTATGTATCTGGATGTCAGGACCAAGCCCCCCTAAAGCCAAAAATCGAAAATATCAGGTCTATGCGCTTGAGGGAACTCAAGACCATGTGCTCCACTGTGGGTATGGCCCAGGAGACTTTTGTCCCCCCGTCACCCTTGGCAGTTCAGTGGCGTTGAGCCGACGAAAAGAGCAGGACGGGTGTTGCTCAATTCGTGATAGATGGATCATGATCAGCGGTAGCTGTGGATATCTTTGTTTGTTGCACCAAATGGACCCTGGCCAATATTGAAGACTAGTTTCTGGAATGCATACTATCTCCAGTCTAAGCCCCGATCGCTGGCGTGGCCCCGTTAAAGACCAATGTTTGCACGACGTACAGTATGTGGATTTAGAACTCGTGAGACAAATTCAAGACCCTTACGAAGTTCGTCATGGGGAATTCCTCCAGGCTTTCCACGCGTCCTGTAGAAATTGGCATGATCGGCATGGCAAATGACAGCACGTAATGAAATCAATTTGATTGTCTAAAAATTACCCCAATTCTGCTCTGATTAATCACCATTGACTTTTTCAAGGTCCCGCGGTTCTGCAGCTTGAGGATGCATGATAAGGAAGCGAATCCTATAGGCCAACGAGCAGGTAAAAAGCGCAGTCTTGGCAAGCCTGGAAGTCCGACATCTTCCATATGGGCTTCCGAACACCTTGGTTGGTGGTCCAGGTTTCCATTCCCATGACGATCGTAAGGCACCGAGGCAGGTTAATGCCGAGCATCACCACTACCAGCGTCATGAGAGTCAGGGGAGAACTATTTGATTTACACGCCAGCTGAATACGTATTTCTCCTGAACTTGGTCTGTGGTGTCTAGTATAAGGGATAGAACGGCTCCTTGCTGGGTTACCAGATGAAGATCCAATCGGCGTTGGGAAAGGGGACCACATCTATGACACCATTACAGATAAGCGAGAGAGAATCAGTAAGCTAATGCGACCAATGCAGCTGCAATTCATCAAGCCCAAACATCATCAGAGTGGAGCGTCAAGGGACAAGAATGCGCCTTCATCCTCTCAGGGACAAGGTTCACGCTAGACGGGTATGATCGACAATCGAACGGCCTTTAGGACGCCAGTGCGCAATGGTCCCAATCCTCAGCCGTCGATCGGACCCACTTATCCTCATCCCCCCTTGGCACTGCTGACGACAGGGGGGCTTTTGTGACCGCCGCTGCATTAGGTCTCTATTTTCTTTGTTTATGCATGACTCTATGACATCCGGGCCCTCGAAATGTGGGTGGAAGCCAGGGCCGGAGACTAGAGATTCAGGTTCCGCGCCCAGGACGCCGAGCGGAGCAGCCAAGAATTGGCATGCTTTTCTGTGCCAAGTCGGAGTTTTCCATCTGGTCAATGTGGTCGGAAAGTTTTCTCGCATTTCGGGTTGAACCTAAGGACAGGGCTGATGCGAGAATTATGTTTGCAAGGCTGCAGTTTCTCTTATCAGCAACGATACTCCAACCGGATTGCGTTCGGAGCCAAGAAATGACAAGGATCAGATCTTACTCACACCATCGCACTTCAATCAGTCCCGAGCGCGGCCCCGATGAAATCCCGACTCGGCTAGCCGACTGCATGATAGTGCAGAGTTGGCCCATGAGTACCCGATACTCTTCGTTCTGGACTCTTGGGTTGCAACAATATTAAGTTTGGTGTAGATCATCGCCCAATCGTTGATTTCCCGTGGCTCCATCATAGACAGAAGTCTGGGTCTTCTCGAATCGTCTCCACTATGTTCTCGTCCTTTGGTCTTTCCGGCGTCATCCTCGGCACATCTGACGGATGAATATCTATGCACGTTGCTACCCAAAATTCCTTGGCATGGATTAGTGATCAAGTTAGACTTCAAATCATGGTTTTTTCACACAATTGTCTCGGGGCCGAGTTCCTAGATTAGTTCCGGAGTGTTCCTTGGTCATTCTACACGCTCTGCAGAGTCTACCTAGTAAGCTGCATAAGATATCCATGTCCGTAGCTATTAGTGGAGTGGTTAATCCTTCGCCATCAAAGCGCTGCAATACGAAACAATAGTGTGCAGTTGGTCCACTATCTACTTAGCACAGCCCCAGGCCTCCTTATTCCCTTATCCATCCCAATGACGCCATTGGACCACTAGGAAATTGAAAAAGGTAATCAGTGGCTTCGGATTTGTGACCAGTACCCGGTCGGCGTCAGAATTAGTGTTGCCTAGAAAACACGAAGAAGCAATGGCTGATACAGAGTGGCTGGTTTCATCCCGACGCATAGACCAGCAGTTGCGAAGATCTTGGAGCCCCTGGACTTTGTGGGTACCTGAGGTCCCGAGCTCCCCCCCCTTATAAGGACACTAGAGGATGTGTATTCAATAAAATGGCCAAAATGCCCTAAAATGCCGTAGGTTGACACGCAATCCCCATAATCAACCAACGATTCACCTGGGCCCACTCCAGATATCCGGTCCCCAGTCTCTAGGTCATCGAAGACAGCGGTGTGCAGCATACGTGGAGTATGGACGGATGGTACTCCGTATGTATGAATTCCCAGGGTTCTCTTATCAGGACCATTTTTTAGAATGGGCTCTTGGGGCTCTTGGCAGAGGAAACGGGTCTCTCCGAACGGTGGAGCGCTGATTTTCATCCCGCACATGGGTCAAGACCCTACAAGGCTTCGCTGATCGTCAACTGCGGATTCCACAGTGGATCTTACCATTACCACAGGTCATGTTGCTATATTTTGATATCGATTGCAAGCTTGGAGGAGCTCTGAAAGATGATACAATGCCAAGCCCTTGGTCTCGAACTTGCGTCGTTAGCTCCGTGCGGGAATTTGCGATGTGTCGTGCTTGGCATTTTCTCCTCCTGATTGATTGTTACTTAGGGGGACTTTTGATTTGCCGCTCTTGGCAACAGAATCCTGATGATCAGATGCTATCAGAGTCGCATGGGTATTCGATTGGCCGTCTTGGCTGGGCGGAGCCTTGGCCTGAGGAGAGTTCACCAGAACATCGTCGTGATCGAGATGCAAATCCATTGCATCATATTGAACATTCCACAAGAACGGGTCGGATATGTTCCTGTGACCTCCACAGGAAAACAAGATACAAGGCAAAAAGAAACAGGATGAACACAATACATACACAGTCGCCTCGATTGCAAAATAGGACCGCATTCCATGAGGACGATGTTAATGGGTAAACGTTTACCGCCAGACACACAAGGCATTCGACAATGCAGCTTCAATTGGTCCCATGCGCTGACATACTTTCCGCCAATACCAAGACTCTTCATATGCAGTGCAACCCTGGAAAAGAGAAAGATGAGACGACATCAACCTTGGAAGTGAACTTCCGGGAGTTGCCTGCATGTTGAGCCGCTTGGCAACGTAGTAGATCGTCTGCAGTTTACATTTTTCCTTCTTCCAAGGTCCTGGAAATGATGCCGTCCATGCGAACGGTTGGATCCAGACTCGCTCGGGATGAAGGGAGATTGATGTTGTGGCCCACGCCTGCTAAGGCCCCAGATGGGTATCAATTTGCGAACGATGCAAAGGGGTCTATGTACTTTTAAATCATAATGCACACGGGCTCTAAGCGAGCTTCTGTTCTCATTTCCGTCCGCGGCCTCCTCCCCTTCCTCTTCCTCGCCCACCTCGTCCGCCTCTACCTCCTCGGCCTCCTCTGTCGTTTCGGCTCCTAATACTTTGCACAGTATGCAAATCTTGCTTGCTTAGGTTCAAGGTACCACCGGAAAACTTTCCGATAGAAGACCCTCCAATGCCCCGTTCTCTTCGTGCTGAACTCGACTTGGTAACCTTGGAAGGCTTCTCGAGGATAATTCCGTTCTCCTTGGCCTCCAGTCGTCGCTTAGCGTCCTTCGAAGCGGCTTTAGATTTGATACCCCTGCGATGCGCATCGGGCATTTTTTGGTCGTAAAGAGACGTCTTTGCACCAAGAGATTGCATGCGCAAATCGAGAGCCTTTAATCGGTTCTTGCCGGTGGGTGCGAGATCCGACGCATCCTCAAGGAGATGAGATTCCCGGAGGAGACGTTGTAATGCAAGATCGTGCTTGAAATTGTCCTTGTCCTCTTCTTCCTCTTCCTTCGTAACTGGTTCTGCTGTCTTCGTTGGCGCATCTGCCAATGTCGGTGGTCTCGAATTCTACCATGGTGTTAACGATGCCGCAAAAACGCGATTATGCTGTAGCACGTACCATAAACGCTTTGCGAGCTTTCTTATCCATCAGATCATCTGTCCTTTTGGCATCCTTGTGTTCAACAATCTCCACTTCGTAACTCTCCTCGTCGCTGTCCTCCTCTTCTCCAGATAGGCCATCCCAGTCAGAGCCTTCTGCATCTGATAACTCCTCATCATCATCTTCGCCCTCGTCTTCCTCGGGATCGGTGTCTGGCTTGGAAGGTTCAATAGGCTCGAATTGCGCCTCGAAATATTTGCGGAAGATGTCTTGCGCGTTATCTGCCGGTGGAGGGCTAACCTCCTTGATTTTTGTGGATCGCGACACAACAGCGGTGTCTCGCTTGCGTTTTCCGGCCGTTGGGGGCATGATTATAAATTGTAATAGGGTGAATGGAAGGTTGCCAGTTTCTCCAATGTCGAAGTTTTTTTTTGACGGACCAAGCTCTGGATCACGTGCGATAACCCGATATCGACAAGCCCCTCACGATCCAACTGACGGATGATAAATTCGTCTGTTTTTCTTTTTTTTTTTTTTTTTTTTTGGTTTTTTGGGGTTTTTTTCCTCTTTATGGCAGTTGTTGATTGCTTCAAATCCTGTGTTAAGTGTATTTGAGCAAGATTGGGCATATTGAGAGTAGGTATCTTAAAGCCTTTGTGTTGCTAAAACTAACTACCTAATACAGTACATATATATATTCAACCTATGGACAGGCTATCCATGCTAAGGTGCCTACGAGAAGCACAACCCTGGCGACTATTAAACGCTAAAAAGGAAAATCAACAAATAATACTATTTCGATGTGAGCTTAACGTTTTGTGGTATTATCCGACCAAAACCCGGAATATATTGTACCCTAGGAACCTTATTGTTTCAAGGTTCCGAATGCTTGATCCACGCTGACGTAGACGGACGTTCATATTTTTGGGAAGGTGACTTCGAGACCGGCGAAGTAGTTAGCTAGGTGGACAACTCGGCAATTATTTTCTAGGCAGGCGCTCCTGATCAAGGATGTAGCAAATGACAAATTAGTGGCAAGGGAATGGTTGATTCCAGATATTTTGGCGCAGTGCGACGTTGACTGGAACAAGACCTATTGACAGCAGTAGACAAATTGATTCCGAATATTGACTTAGACATTAGCTAAGAGGTTTCATTTCTGTCTCTTCCCAGAGGAAAGGAATAAATGAGATGTATAGTTGACATTCTGTAGAAACGTGCAGTACCCTTTCCGGAAGCGGCTTAGGGGCTCAGGCAGCTCCGCCCGCCAACCTCCGTGATCTTCGACTCTTCATCCCCCATCCACTCCCTTCGATATCCCCGCTGTTCACCAATCCTGCGCCTACGTATTGGACGCATTTAGCGCCCTTTCACCACTTTCTCCAAACATAATTCTACTCAACTCAAGATGAAGCCCGTCGTGTCGGCGTTGAACGCCTGGTCGTGGTAAGGTCTTCCATCTTTGAACATGGCTCTTAGCCTCGGCCTCTGCCCAGACTCTAACAATGCTTTGCTCAATAGTGTTGTGATCTCCGTTTTTGCTATTGTTATTCTCTCTGTTCTGGGATCTCTATACGGCGTACGTTCGACTTGACCCTCCCCATTGCCAGCCAGACTTTGCGTCATCGTGCGGCCTGTTGGCTCATCGATACCAAACCACATACTCTAATTGACTGGAACGAGGTTGCTGACATGATCAATACTACTATAGAGCAACAACCACGCATTCACCGGATCCGAGGGAGAGCCTGAAGATGGCCCTGCAGTCGCTGCTTCTATTTACGTCGCTGTGCTAGTCTACGCCGTACGTCACCCTTCTGGAGCAAATATTCCCGAAAAACATCAGACTATGAACTTCGGAACTAACACGTTGGTGTTTCACAGGGATTCTTTGTTTTCTGTGGCTTCCAGGCCTACCTTCATATGCGCGTAAGCCGCGGCGGCGCCATATCACTTTAAATCACAAAATATCTCCACAATATCTCTTACTTGGTGTCTCTGATTGGTATGCATTTGGGTTTCATATTTCGGTCTTTCTTGGGAATACACGCTTAGGTTGGAGGGGCGGGAAAGATCTGAAACAGATCAGCGGACTCCATCTGTCTGGGCCATCACCGGTTGGGCCGACGGAGTCCGCACGCACATCTGTGCTAGAAAGCGAATTGCAATCGAGCTTTTTTCAAGGAGTCTATTTGCTGGGCTGGTCTCCCGGACTCCTTTGAGATGGTATACGGATGGCTTTTTGGTGCGAGGCGTGTTTGTACATAGATCATTCGGAATTACCTGTTTCTTGACCCCATTGACTCTCGCGCATTTGGCGATCATAGACATTTCAATCATTGCTCATAATTATTGACAAGAACCACCTTTGGAGTAAAACCCCGACGCCAGTTATATGCAAACGTAAACCCCATCACCAATCAGGGGCTGATTTACTCATCCTCCCAAGGGTCCAACATCTTGGACATGTAAGGACCATCCAGAGTGTAGCCAAGGCGGGCGTAGTAGCTGCGAACACCAACGCCAGAGATAACACTAATCTTGCGGCTGCCATGTTCCTCCCGCGCAATGCGCTCCGCCTCTTCCATGAGCAGTGTACCGAAACCGCGGTGCTGGAATTTGCGGGCATCACGCCCGTGAAGTGGCACCGCAGATCCGTAAACGTGGAGTTCCCGGACAATGCTAGTCTGCTGGCCAGTGAACTCCGGGCGGAAAGTATGGGTATCGCTGCACTTGCGCAAACGAAGGAGACCAATAAGAATATCTTGCTTCGGATCCTCATAAGCCAAGAAAGTTTCCCAGCCACCGTTGGCAGCGTAATCACGACGAATCAACTCGATCTGTGAGGGGCGGATCTTGTTCTTAACTTCATTGATACCGACCTCACGAGTTCGAACATCACGGCAAGTCGTTCCGAAATCCTTCATTCGTGCCAGCGCTAGTTCGCGCAGGTTACCGTTCTCGACACCGGAAGTGACGAGCGGCATGGGGATATCACGCTGGACACGGTAGATACGAGTCCACGGGGGTACCAACGCCATAATGCGAGCCACCAGGTCAATCAGGGCATTGGGCGTGTAGTTCTTATAACGACCCGTTCGCCACAGCTCATAAAGACCGGTACCCCGAATGACGAGGGTGGGGTAGATTTTCAGGCCATCGGTACGGAAGTCAGGGTTTTCAAAGTATTCCTGGAACTGGAACAGATCGCGCTCCATACCCACGTTAGGCAAGTCAGGCATCATGTGGCTGACAACCTTGAAGCCGGCATCCTTAGAAAGCTTAAACGTCTCAGCGACGGCCGCAACCGTGTGGCCACGGTTGGTATCGCGCGCAACATCCTCATACAGACTCTGCACACCAATCTCTAGACGTGTGCATCCGTACTGAAGCATGCTGCTCAAGTGGGTATCGAGGCAGTAATCGGGCCGAGTCTCGATTGTGATACCCACACACTTGATGTTGCTCATTTCGCCCGCCTGCACGGCCTCATCAACATTGTCGGTTTGGTATCCACTCAGTGCATTGTGAAGTTGAGAAATGAATGAATCGCGATAATCGACGGGCAAGGACATGAATGTTCCACCCATAATGATGTATTCCACCTTGTCCACGCTGTGTCCCAGAGCCTTGATCTGATCGACTCGTCCTCGGGCCTGCTCAAAGGGATCGTATCGAGCGCGAATCGCGCGCATGGATGTCGGCTCATATCCAGTGTAAGATTGTGTAGAGTATTCAAAATCGGAATCGGGACCACCGGGACAGTAAACACAGATGTTACCGGTATAAGCGATATGGGGGCATCGGTGGGGCTTGCACATCACGGCAACGACGGCGATACCAGACGAAGTACCTGGAGAGGAGTCAGTTCAAGGTCCACCCTTCCCAGCAGCGATCCACGTACGAATTGGCTTCGCAATCAGCTTCGGCAAAATGTATTTTTTGTAATGTTCTGGCACGGCCGCAATGATGGCCGTAAGTGGCGGCTGGGTCGCCAGGTGATGTTTCTTCGAGACCTGGCCCCGCAGCTTGTTCAGGTTGATATCTTTCTTGGGGATCGAAGAGTCTCTCTGCGACTCATACTCCTGGATGAGCGCATTGGCAATATCAGAGCACGCTCGCATGTATCGCTCATTCTCTGGAACCAGCTTAGCGTTCTTTCTTGCCGTGTTTTTCGACGCCTGCGGCATCGTCACCGTCATGGTGGCCATGGTAAAAGATCTTCACCGGCAGCGATGATGATTATCTTTGTTAATGACACGAGCCCACAGAAGTGGAAACCAAGGTAGTTTGGTGGTGGTGGGGGTGACGATTAGATAGAAAAAAAGTTGATGGCCGAGGCAGCGCTCCGAAACTGACCAGCCGGGTCCGCTTAAGTAAAGGTTTGTCCCGAACGAAAACTCCCGGGCGCGCATCCCGATTCCTTGCTCTAACTCACCTCCCGAGTCAACCTCTGTTTTCCCCCTTTAACCCTCTCCTCTCCTATCCCTCTCCTCCATCACATTGCAGTCATGCAGGCCTTCTGCCGTAACACCTTCTCGGCTGCTCGTAGCGTCGCTGGCCAGCAGCGCCGGTCCTACGCCAACGCCAGCTCTGCGTATGCCAGCACCGTGAACAACCTGAAGATCAACAAGGACACCCGAGTCCTCTTCCAGGGTTTCACCGGAAAGCAGGGAACGTGAGTTTTCCTTTCTGATATGCCTCTGACTTCGCGATACTAACGTATGCTTTGTTGAACAGCTTCCACGCCGAGCAGGCCATCGCCTACGGTATTTCTCCCTCGCGTCGCGATCGCAAAAAAAGGACACGAGCTCACTCCACATAGGCACCAACGTCGTCGGTGGTACCAACCCCAAGAAGGCTGGCTCTCTTCACCTTGACCTCCCCGTCTTCGCCAATGTCTCCGAGGCTGTGAAGGAGACCGGTGCTACCGCTACCGCCATTTTCGTCCCGTATGAATCCATCATTGAACCCAAGACCGACAGAACAATGAACTGACTACCTCTAGCCCTCCTCTGGCCGCCGCTGGTATCGAGGAGGCCATCGCTGCCGAGGTCCCCTTGGCTGTCTGGTACGTGTCTGGAATTTTTGGAGCTCCTGAACTTTTTTTTTCTTTTTTTACTGACCGTTTACTCCTGATAGCATTACTGAGGGTATTCCCCAGCATGGTACGAGCTACTCCGATATCTACTCATTTCAAGTTCACTGACTTATTGCTATACTAGACATGGTCCGCATCACCGATATCCTGAAGACCCAGAACAAGACCCGTCTGGTCGGCCCGAACTGCCCCGGTATCATCGCTCCCGTAAGTGTGACCTTCCGCTCCTTCCGACGTCATATGCGATATTTATATTAGTTATAGGGACAATGCAAGATCGGTATCATGCCCGGCTTCATCCACAAGCGCGGCCGTGTCGGTATTGTCTCCCGTTCCGGTACCCTCACCTACGAGGCTGTCAACCAGACCACCCAGGCCGGCCTTGGTCAGTCTCTCGTTGTCGGTATCGGCGGTGACCCCTTCTCCGGCACCAACTTCATCGACTGCTTGAAGATCTTCCTTGAGGACCCCGAGACCGACGGTATCATCATGATCGGTGAGATTGGTGGTTCCGCCGAGGAGGACGCCGCCGAGTTCTTCAAGGCCAACAACATCCACAACAAGCCCGCTGTTTCCTTCATCGCCGGTATCTCCGCTCCTCCCGGCCGTCGCATGGGTCACGCCGGTGCCATCGTCAGCGGTGGTAAGGGTGGTGCTGACTCCAAGATCTCCGCTCTCGAGGATGCCGGTGTCATTGTCGAGCGCAGCCCTGCCTCCCTTGGCAAGGCCCTGCTTGCTGAGTTCGTCAAGCGCGACCTCGTCTAAATTGGTCAATGCTTGTGACGTGTAATGCTCTTTGGTGTCCTGGTGAGAAGGCTGGGAATCCGAGGTATATCCATCTATGGTGGTATTTGGCGGTTCATACCATGCCGTGACTGTATTCTTTTCTCCTTTGTGTGTTAGAGACCCTTGAAGAGTAATTAGTTTCTTGTACTTTTTACTTATGATTGTGCATTTGTAATTGGTATTTAACTGCATTTTCCCTCTTGATCAATCCAGCCATCCAGATGGGTTCCGAACTTGGCCAACTCAGTGGCTATAAGCCCACCCATTGTATATCTAGATGGGTTGGCACTCGTACAGAGCTTACCAGATCACTGTGTACATGCCAAGTGGTCTCCCGGTGAAGTGCTGCCCTGAAGACTGCCGAATTGATTGTAGTTAATTGCTCGTAACCTGCTCGGACAAGAAGTTGATATCGTGGAATCATCATCGCAAAGAAAAAAGCTTTACTATGATAGCCTTAGGACAAGTACGAGTCAAGATTCACCCCAAGCGACCCGATTTATTGAAATCTCCTTAAAGCGTCAACGATATCTTCTGTTCCAATAACGTCACAGAACTCCCCATCAAGACTGGCCACAGAAACCTTGTGAATAATATCAGAATCAAATCCACCCTTGCCAAAGGTAGCAGTTGCATCAGACACAAGAACAATCCGTCCCTTATCCACAGGTACATCCTTGACATGGGTACCATCAGACTTGATCTTTACAGGTTCCCCACCATGTAAGCGATCCACAACACCCAGATTAGCCGCCATGCGAACAGTGGTAGAGACGCAGTGATCAGTTGTCAACCCAGCGATAATAAGCTGCCGGAATCCCTTCTCACGCAGATGCGCTTCAAGATTGGTTCCAATGAAAGAAGAGTTAACCGATTTCCAAAAAATAGGCTCCGAGCCGTCAGAGGCTGGGGTAGCAAAGTCCAGCGGACGAATTCCGTCTGTAGACGGGTGTAGCGGACTTCCAGGCGTCACGGAAGAATGGAAGATATGAATCACTTCCAGCAGAGTAGATGACGAAGATCGTGCGGTTCGGAATGCAGATAGGAGAGCCTGGAGATTGACCTCATAACGTGGATTGGAGCGGGTGGTTCCCCAGTGAGAAATTGTTTCTGGAGCGCAGAAGCCGACTTGGTTGTCGATAAGGATGAGAGCCGTTGGAAGGCTCAGTTTGAGAGGTTGTGACATTTTGGAGATATTTTCCTTTGAATGTAGATGAACAGAAGGTCGGGGAATTCTCAGTGGTTTTATACACACGGGATTGGATGAGTCACGCAGTGGGTTTAATCAACTAACTAGCTATGTTAGCTATCAATTAACTCAATTGGTTAGGAATTGATAAGCCTCGATGCTTTTCCGTTGTCATGCACACTTTCCAATTAATTAAAGGTTTGATAATTTCTTCTAATAAGATAATCTTTGTCTAATGCAGAGTCAGTTCTCTACTTCATTCCCTGCAGCGTTGCTTTTATGTGACATCTTGGCGACAGTTGACCACTCATGTTTGAAAATAGATGTATGATAGAACATGGCACCAGTCAGAGAGCCATTAATGGCAACGTACTTATTCCCAGATCCACCACTTCGCGCGATGAGTGCAATCATCTCGGTAGTCACCAAAGCAAATCGATGAAGTTCGAGATCTCATACTAAATTGGAACATCTCGTTTGTCTCTATGCTTTTTCATATTCTACATTATATAGCTGTGAGTCCTCCAGGGCTTGCTGCCATGTCACCTGACCATGTATCCGGGTGGTTTGTATGGATATTTCCCAGACTGTAGGCTACAGACACAAAGCTAGACTAAGGAATGATAGTATAAGTACTCTACTAAAGCGCGAGAACTATTGTCGGATTTGTAGATCGATGTTTAATCAAAATCCCGATATCCATGTGCCTCTCCAGTTCCCGCGCCACACTATTCGTCCTTCACATTTGATGTAACCGTTTGGCCATAATTATCCGGGGCAGCATGGTTGCAAGGGATCCCAGAGTCATTCACGTCGAGGATATTTGTACACTGATAGACTTCATGTGGAAGATCGGTGTCATAAAGCGGCAATCCCAACGTACTGTTCACAGACTGAAGATCGATGTCCTCAAACTTAATTCCCGGACAAGGGTGTACATCAGAGCAATAGATCGATGCCGCAATATTATACCGAGACGTTCCCTTGATATTGGACCATGTGATATCTTCAATAGCCATCTTGGACGTATTGCAGCTCTGCCCACTTTCAGAGTAAATGCACTGAGAGATTTGAATCGGCAAAGCAACGTTGGTCAACTCAAATTTCCGGTAGGTGATGTTCTTGATGAGACCACTGCCACCGCCTCCACTGTCGCCGTTGGAGCTGCTATCATCGGATTCGCCCTGCCATGTCTTGATAAAGGCTCCCTCCATGCAATTCAAACATCGGATGTCTTCAAAGGTGACATTCTCGACATAATCGGGCATTGTAGGGTATTGTCCAACAGATCCAATCGTCATACCATAATTCCCATGACAAGTCACATTCCGGACTAATAAATTCGTAGTATTACCCTTGGCTGCCACACAGTCATCCTGATTGGTGATGTCGGCATTTTCGACGAGTAAAGCGTCACTATTCCACGAATCGTAGCCATCGGTGTTAACGGTGCCCCATTCATCGTTACTCGTAGCATTCACATAGAGATTCGTGATGGATACGTTCTTGCTGTACGACACGAATGTCGCCCAAAACTGTGGCTGAATGACGCGTAGACCATCTACAAGCAGATTTTGAGAGTTGATGAATGTAATGCTGATAGGCCGACCTGGCTGATTGCTTTGATTGCGGTTCTCTGTGTACCATGCCTGGCCATTTCCATTGTACCAGCCACCCTCGCCTCGAAAGGTGACGTTGGTTCCGCCGAACAGCCAAGCCGTGGACTGGTTCTGGAATACCACGGAATAAGAGTGATTAAGCCAGTATGAAATATTGTCAGAAAAGAGCAGCTCGCCTTGTAGTGACACGTCGCAATTCGCCAAATTGGTTGTGTTTAGAACCGAGTTGATGTTGAAGGTATGGTTGGAAAAGACAACTTGACCATCAGATCCACAAGTCTCGAAGGCTTTGTGAATGGAGGGAGCATCGTCAACCGGTAAACCATGGTGCTTGAGCGACTCAGGATAAAGACGACAGATATTTCCTTCTTCATGTACAACGTATGCAGTTCCCAGAGTAGCCAGTGTGACCGAGCCGAGAAAGGACCAAAGTCGCATGATGAAGTAAAAGCTGCGTCGAAAGCGTTCTTGTTCGGTCAACTCTTCTCACCTCGGATCTGGTCCAGTGAAGGGAGACCATCCGTCAAATATTCGATCTTTGAGCAGTGATGAAACCCCCACAATATACCCCACAACATTGGAAAGGTTACATTCCCCAGGTACATGCCCACCTTTCGTTTCTGTACATCGTTTCTCCCACCAATGAGGAACACCCATTGATTTGTCAGGAATTGGCTCGGGGCACAAGGTCTAAGCGTGGAAAGCAATAAGATGAGGGGGAGCGACGATCTTGACTTTCAATATCGGTTCGGTCTTTCTTGAACCGAATGCTCCGCGTACTGAGTTCCTCCTGGGCTGTCCCTCGGTCCATTGAAGGTGGAAGTCCCGTGAGAGAAGACCGCCTAGTCCTAAAAGAGTATCTAGCTCGTCCACTTGGTGCCAAGCATTTTTCATTGGATCTTGATTTAGATCGCGGCAACAAAAGGGGCTCTTGTCCGCTGATTTTGGCGAACGTAGGCTATTCTCCACAATTAATCCTGGTATATTTTGAGAGCTGCCTGGATCCCGAGAGTCATGAAATTGAACACGGGGGGCTAACATAGCGGCACTAACGCAGTCCCTACCTCTTTGGGAGATGTGGGTAAGTCAACTGCTGGAAACTGGGTATATAAGGCCCAAAGGAGAGACTCAATTCTGGAATTCCTTCCATAACTATCCTTCTCTGACATTGACTCGCAGTGATGTTGGCTCTCAAAGGTGTCTTTACCTTGATCTTGGTCCTCGCTTCGTCTCATCGAGCGTATTCGTCCTGTGAGCCAGAGATATCTTATCCAGCTCCAGTATATAATTCAAATACTCTGAAGAGCACTTTCAAAGTGATTGAAAATAGCCTCAATAGGCTGATCAAAGCTGGTGATTACGATGGAAGTTCCTTTTCATTGGAGATCTCCTCCCCGAACCAGACTCTATACACCAAATACCACTACGACAAGTCTCTGGGGGGAAGCCCAATCAACAGTTCCTCGACATATCGGATTGCCAGCAATACGAAGCTTTTTACTGCGCTGGGAGTCTTGAAGCAAGAGGCTGCAGGAAAACTTGGGCTTGACGACGAGGTGATCAAGTATATCCCGGAGCTTCTCAATGGAACAAGCAAGATAACCTGGAAGGGTATCACAATTCGATCTTTGTTGGCTCACCTGAGTGGCCTCCCGGACAACTATGGTGATGAAGATCTGCTCCTTATGCTCTCCGATCCATCTGCAATTGGACTCCCTCCATTAGATACAGAAGAGGAAAATAAGCTGCCAAAATGCGGTGCTTACAGCGGGTGGACAGTGGCCTGTACAGACGCAGGTATGCAAACACCTTTATCCCGTTGCTGATTCATAAGCTAATAGGCTATTTTAAGATCTCGACGAGAATCTTCACAACGTGAACTCGGTGTTCCCGTCCCAAAAAGAAACCTCCTATAGCAATATTGGATTTGACCTTCTTGGCCAAGTTTTGGCGAAGGTAACCAATATGAAGTATGAAGACTACATCAAGGAGGCGATTTTCAGACCTCTTGGCATGCACGAGACATCCTTCACTGTTCCTGCAACTTCAGTTGCTGCTAGCGCTGGTTCAGATTCTGACTGGGGCGTGGACGAAGGAACCGATAACCCGTGAGTCCGCTTCATTCCCTATGGCTATCTCAAGTCCTAATGAGTTGTATAGGAGTGCTGGAATCTACAGCTCCTCTTCGGATATGATAAAATTCCTTCGCTGGGTCCTCAAGAACCATGAGAAAATTACTCCATCACTCAACTGGTTCCAGCCTGCAGCTTGGAATTCTGGATCCCACTCGCTTTTTGGGTATCCGTGGGAGATTTTCCGAACTACTTCAATCTTGCCAAACACGAAACGCCCCGTCACATTCTACACAAAGGGCGGAGGTCTCACGGACTACTATACCTACAGCTTTATCATCCCACAGTACGACCTTGTGGTTTTCATGGGCGTGGCCGGAGACTTGTCTGCATTGAACACAGTATTCACCGACGTTCTGAACCCGCTCGTCATCGCAGCCGAGTATGAAGCGCAATCTCAGTTGAAAAATTCATACGGAGGAGTTTATACTTCGACTGAATCGACCTTGAACTCTTCGATTACTCTCACTCAGACCCAGTCACGGTCTCTGTATATTTCCTCATGGATCTCCAACTCCACGGATGTCCTGGCAAATCTGATCCCCTTTGTGTCCTCAACAGCTGGCACGAGTGGAGACATGTATTTCCAACTCCTTCCTACCTTTCAAACACGGCGCACGCATGACGGTCAAATTGGCGAAGTGTGGCGGCTCATCAATGTAATTGATGATTCCGAAGACCCTACAAATTCTACAACCGTCTGGAATGACTATTGCGTGGCAAACATTGATCCGTTTTCCTACGGGTCAATTCCTCTGAACGAGCTCGTGTTCTGGAGAAATTCCAGTGATAACAGGTCCACGGTGGAATCTGTGACGCTTTCGGCATTTAAGGTTAATTTGCTTCGAAACTGATATTCTCTCCAAAGTGTATAGACGGAAGGAGATGAAGAGCTGAGTCATATGTAAGATAGAAGCTCTTAGCTAGGGTAGGAGTGGGCGCCTAGGCGAGGAATTTGTGTACAAGTATGTAGAAATACAATTATAGACAAATATGTGGAAAATTAGCACATGAAGATCAAATGCATCCTGTTGATTATTGTTCAGTTAGCATTTAAGAGAATAAGTAAGATAGCTGTAACACTCACCAGTTTTTGTCGTTGTCTGGCGAAAGAGGTGCTTGGCGCATGGCATTCATTCCAGTGATAGTCCTCAAGACACTAATCTGCCTGTCAATATAGATTTGCAAGTCCTCCGAGCCATGTGGAGATGCACTGGCTAGGCTCAGTGGCCATATAAGCGAGCGAGCCCACGCAGAAAACTGCAAGGAGTTGCTTGAGTTATTGACCCAAGTATCTGGTCTCAAAAACTCCGGCACACTGGCGCAGATCTCAACTGCCGTTTGCCGAGAAACTTGAGATGTCTCATTAAGGGACCTACATAGCATCTCCTCGATACCTCTTGCTACCGCAAGGTTATGAGATAGATAAGCAAAGATGCTCGTATTCAGTAGGTTGACAAGAAAAAGCCGTGTCATTCGCAGCGTGTTCCAAGTCTGAGCAACTCGAAAACTGCTGAAGCTGTGGACTGGAGGGCGATATTCACTTTGACTGAAACCAATATTTTGGCTGTCCGTGATATCACAAAAAGCAAATTGGTCGGGGCTCGACTGGGGCATTAGTTCCAATAAAGACTGTACATCCTTCTCCAGTTCTTGTAATTTCGTAATGTAGAGTAGTGAGATTGCAGATTCGTTAAATTGCGTATTCAGCAGAGCAAGTCGATCAAGAACTTCCCAAAAGTCTGCCGCTTGGGAGCTCTGATATATCCATGAGGCTGAATACAACAATTGAAGCTGAGGAGGCAAAGACAGACGGCGTTGTAAACAATCTATCTGTACAACCGAAATGATATGGTGGAGAAGTCCCTGACCGGCAGGATCCTGAAATATTGTAGAAGGCGAGCATGATTCTAATATTGCCAAAATCCCGTGGATGTGCTTGGACCAGATGTTTTGTGCGTCACGGTACGACTCCGAGGAAATGACGGCAAATAAAGCCAATAATAAGACCGACGCCACCGTCTCCGGAGTAGCGGACTGTGACCTTTGTAGGGCTGTCATCGTGTGCTGCAAACCCAACCCATATCTCTCCTGGGCTAAAATTCGCAAATCCCCTCGGCGCTGCTCGTTGGCCATATACCCAAGAGCAACGGCTTCGAAACTCGCCTCCAGTGAAGCAGGTCGCCCATGAGGCAAATACAGAGTGGGTAACCACTCAAGGTAGGTACCGCCGGCATAAGCGGTTGTGAACAGGTTAATCGCACGCACAGAAGGAGGATCCACCAGTAATTGCATGTGTGGTGAGGGTGTTGATTGCCGGGGAGTGCTGACCCCTGAGGATGATTTCAAGTCGCGTGACTTGGCTTTTCGTGTTACAGTGACAGTCTCATCGTAGAACATGAGGTCGATCTCCTTGCGGTAGCCAGTACATACTGCACTCACATTGATACACTGTGAACATGCTGGGTGACGACGATCGCACTGATCTTGGATTAGGAGACCCGCCGAACCAAACATTTGTGGCCGAGGCTTACTTTGATTCTCCTTTCGCGACAGAGTGAGCAAGCCGTGCTTCGTTTCCCTCGGAACACCATGATGAAACACGGACCTCAATTCCGATGTCCCTCAATGTTGACAAGCTGCTCATTGACTGGGAAGTCAACATGTGGCTCGGGAAGGCATAAGGCAAAAAGTGGGGGCCAAGGAATCGCGAGTTTCTGATATCTGGATGCCTTAATTGTAGACCGAATCAGACCCACCTGCGAGCGTTCACTTCACGTTTCAGTGAGAGATGGATTTTCAAGCCTGTGATGTGTACGCAAAGTACGTCATCATCGGCACTGTGAAAATTTGGTTATACTCCCGCAACCTTCAATCAGTAGTGATCGACATCTCGCGGCACTTGCGGCAGTTTACGCCTGATAAACCATGAGCCTAATGTCGGGTCGTTCTTAACTGGGAAGACACAGTCCCCGAATGCTCCACTGCCGCGTAACTCGTCCCCTGATGCTCATTTCTCGGCTTTTCCGGATCGTCTCTTCACCAAGTCATATTGACTGAAATTATCGCATGCGACAATTGGCCTCAGAATCCCTATTCATAATGAATATCGACCTGCGCTTGGCTAGAATATCTCACACAAAACGATAGAGAGACCAGAGAAAACCCGAGGTTTACCCGTGTTCTTCTATCCAGCTCCGATGTATGTAAGTGTATGTCGATGCATCATATATACCTCTGTGGAGCATGGCCGCATAAGCAATCTTGGCATATCCCACTTGCCAGGGTTTGAGGGTTTCAATCTCCCTAGAGAGGCTTAGTCTAGGCTGCTCAGATAGATCCATGACGATCAGGTCTATTGCCATTATTTATTGGAAAGACTGCGTGTTTTCCGCTTGTTATTTCCTTGTCTTCATCATTTTCATTCCTTTCCTTCATACTTTGAAAACAATCTTTGAAGCATGAAGATCCATTCACTTTCCTTTCTTTCGCTTTGTATAAGCTCTGCAGTTGCCCTTCGTGATAACGCGAGCACTGGCCTTCTATCCACGGGCGATGGTGTGTTTCTACAATCATTCATTGGGGATACATCCTACTAACATTATTCTAGTCTCCCTTGGTGACTGGCAACCGGCTTACAAAAAGGCTGTTGCATTTGTGTCTAAGTTGAACACCACCGAGAAAATCAAACTTATCACCGGAAATGATGCCGAAGCCACGGATGGCTCGCACTTCACTGCCCTCGAATTCATGGACGGAGATATGGGTCTGCAAGACTATTTCTACGTCTCTGCCTTTAGCCTGGCGTCTGCAATTAGTATGACATGGGATAAAGATGCCATCTATGAACAGGCTAAAGCTGTTGGGACTGAGTTCTACAACAAGGGTATCCAAGTCATCGACGGTCCAACATCTCAGCCCTTGGGCCGCACCGTTTGGGGTGGGCGCTTGGTCGAGACTATGGGGTCTGACCCGTACTTGAACGGTATTGCAACAGGCCTGACTGCCAAAGGATATAAAGATGTTGGAATCATTAGTGGTATTAAGGTATGTACTCGCCACGACAGTCAATGGTGACACCGATACACTTGGCATATACTAATGCTACGCAGCATTTCATCTTGAACGAGCAAGAGACAAACCGTACCGCTTCAATGGGCCAGATGGGCCAAGGAAGCTCTGGGGCTCCTTATTCGTCCAATGTAGACTCCAAGACCTTCCATGAGACATACCTCTGGTCGTTCTACGACGGTGTTCACTCGGGCCTTGGTGGTGTCATGTGCGCAATGACCAAGGTCAACGGAACTCTGTCGTGCGAGTCCTCCTCGCTTCTTCTTGACACTCTCAAAACGGAGCTCGGTTTCCCAGGCCTTGTCTTTCCAGATACCAATGGCCAGGAGCATGCTCTCGCTTCCGCAGTCAGTGGACTTGACTACAGTTCATCTACAATTTGGTCTAGCTCCAACATCAACGGCTTCCTTGAGAACAACACGATGTCTGAAGCTCGTCTGAACGACATGGCAGTTCGCAACCTTATGGGATACTACCACGTTGGCCTCGACAACGGAAAACAGCGCTCCACTGCAGATGAAGACGCCTACCTTGATGTTCGTGCCAACCACTCTAAGCTCATTCGCGCCCACGGCGCCAAGTCCATGGTTCTCCTTAAGAACACAGACAACGCCTTACCGCTCAAGAAACCTCATAAGATGGCCATCTTTGGAGCTCATGCACGAGCCCCGATTGCCGGTCCTAACATGGCATTCAGTGTTATGGGATCTGGGCCAACCTACGACGGACATCTTGCATCAGGCTCCGGATCTGGCCAGGGATCTTTGCCATACTTGATCACCCCTGAGGTTGCATTGACACTCAAGGCTAGCCAGGACGGAACCATGCTTCGCTGGGTTGCAAATGACACATATTCTTCTTCGGGTGGTTCTACGCTGGTCATGCAGGGATCCGACAGTACTTCCGTCACCCCTTCGATTAGCAACTACGCCGAGAACATGGACGTCTGTCTCGTTTTCCTCAACGCACTGGCTGGTGAAGGTGCTGACCGCACTGAGCTTACCAACGCCGACCAAGACAGTCTTGTGAAGGAGGTCGCTGAGAACTGCGCGAACACTGTAGTCGTCATCAACACCGTCGGAGCCCGCCTTGTTGATGAGTGGATCGAGAACGAAAACGTCACTGCAGTGCTGTACGGCAGCCTTCTTGGAGAAGAGTCCGGCTACTCGATCGTTGATGTTCTGTATGGAGATGTTAATCCCAGCGGACGATTGATCTACACAATCGCCAAGAACGCCTCGGACTACAACGTGGATATTTGCTACACCGCGAACTGCAACTTCACCGAAGGCAACTACATCGACTACCGCTACTTCGATGCCTACAATGTGACACCCCGCTACGAGTTTGGCTACGGTCTCTCTTACACCAACTTCACCTACTCATCTCTGAACATTGACTCACCGTCATCGCTCTCGCGCTATCCCACCGGCAAGCTTGCCGTCGGTGGCTACGAGGATCTCTGGGACAATGTCGCAAACGTGAGTGCTGTGATTACGAACTCTGGTACTATTCGCGGTGCAGATGTGCCTCAACTGTATATCAAGTACCCCGCATCCGCAAAGCAGCCTCTTCGCCAGCTCCGTGGGTTCGAGAATGTGAACATTGCTGCAGGCAAACAGACGCAGGTAGAATTCGGCTTGCGCCGCCGCGATATCTCTCACTGGGATGTGGCGGCTCAGAAATGGGCTGTTGCCCCTGGCACATACACGGTGTATGTCGGAGCCAGCTCGCGGGATCTGCGATTGCATGGAAGCTTCCGCGTTGAGACAAAAGCTTGAGTCTAGATGACTTTTGCATCACGGGGTTGTCAACTGAGACGACAGCCTACTTCGCATTTAGATATTTCTTATGATTTACAATATAGACCAATCATATCCGCAGCGCGCGGCCTTGATGATTTCTTTGGAACAATTCCTTTCCCAATTAATCCGCCAATCCAGTCCCTTATATTTTCGATCTATGAGCTTCATCTAGTTCCTGTCTCGGGTAATGAGTTCGAGTTTCTTGTTCTCAACGCTCAGTTTCCTTTTCTTTGTTTACTCTTTCCTTTCTAAACTAGTTCCGTCTGACCTCATCCCGACCGTTGTTGTCTCAGCCATACTCTTTGGCCGCCTAATCTCTATCCCGAACACCTATTTCCAACGATAAAAGAGTCATGTGAAGGAACACAAGGATCAAGGCCATGAGAGCTTAGGCTGCACGATTGGGGCGTCCAGCGAAATTGTCTCACATCCCCACTTGGGTTGCCGAACTCGATCACATCAGAGTACATCCCTTGGCCAAGTGGGGTACAAGTGGGATGATCAGCGTAAATGCGGAGACATGAGTGGTTCGCATGAGCATCCTCATCTGCAAGAAGCATTGCTTATGTCAATCATTGTCTTAGGGATTGCCCTGATTTCCGGGATTCCATGAGGTATTTTGCCTTTCCACCACACGTCCCGTGCAGCTACCTGATCTAAAAATCGCATCCACGGTCGCCGGCGAACTAGTGTACCCAAGCATTGGACGGCCTAAGCAAAGCAACATCCGATTCACCCGTGGAGAGGAAAATCCTGTGGTCAACTCCATCGCCAAGAAGTTTGTTTTGAACAAAACGTCACTGGGTTCTTGGCTCCCCTATAAAGCGGGCGCTTTTCTGCTCCATCAACAAAAGTTTCATTCCTTACACACTATCAAATTACCTAGCAAAGCTCTTTCCAACTCATTAACAGAACACCAATTTACTATAATATGAAGCTCCTCGCCTCTCTCGCTCTGTTGGCGGCTACTGCCCTAGCCAGCCCCTTGAGTTCTCGTCAATCAAAGGAGTTCAAGCTCAAGACTACTGGCTCGACAAAGCCGGAGTTCAATGACCTTTACCTCTACTCCTACCACACTGGCGCCGGTCTGAGTGACGGAGTTTTGGACAGTAATGCTACCGTGGCACCCAAATTTTCGCTGAATGGCACCAATGCCTATGCTGATCTGGGAACTGATTACCCTTGGGGCATGACGGTCGCTGGTGACACCAACTATGCTGGTAGGTGTTGATCCGAATATTCCTCATCGTCAACCGCTGTTCTAATTGTCTCTATAGCATGGGAGCCAGTCACCATCAATGCAGGAGGCGGCGAAACAGGATTCGCGATCAGCAATGGCAACTTTGTTTGGTCCACAGATGAGGGCTTTGCCGGTTGGCTCGGTGAGTTCCATTTTTATTGGTACACAGTACTACCTTGGGTTCAAACTAACCCTGTTCCAGTCTGCCCCTGGTACCATAATGCGCCGCAGCTGTTCGGCCTCATCTCATATTACGACCCTGTTATCCCTTCAAGCTGCAGCAAGGTCACCCTGAAGCCTGTTTATTGAAGGGAAAAGAAGAAGACTGAGGGGATACTACGGTACAAGTAACGCTAATAGATAAAGACCCGGTTTAAAACCACGTGTGAAAGTTATGTGACACCAGTTCGTGAATTTAATCATTGTATCATTGCTTTTATCATCTATCATGAAAATGGGAGAATTCTTATGAAGCCGCAACAACATTCGGCATCTCCTCGTAGTATCGTTTATCCATGCCGGCCTCCAAGCGGGCTTCTTCGTTAAATGGTCCACGGAGGGGTCCACGGAAATGTTTTCTGACGTTGGAGCGGAAGACCTGCACCGGGTCTGTTCCTTCTTGATTACAGATCCAGGTCAGCCATCGGTGGCCCGTAGTCACATGTGTGATTTCGTCATGGTGAATGACCTCGAGCGCTTCAACGCTCTCGCTGTCGCCAGAGAGACGGAACTTCTGGATAGTCATTGGGTTGACGTCCAAACCTCTAGCCTCGTGGACCAGAGCGATGATGCTTATACGGGCGCGAAGATCATATGCTGTTTCCTGAGCGGACAACCATAGACTGTGATGAACGGGGAGGGCGCCGAAGTGAGAGCCCATTTCTTCAAGACGGGTGCGCAGGAGGGAGAAGTGTTTCGCCTCATCGCTCGCAACCTTGAGCCAGTCATGGAAATAGGCCCGTGGTAATTGCTCTGAGGTTTTCTCGGCCTGGAATGTAGCGAAGCGCACGCAAATATCAATCGCCAGATCAATCGCCCATAGCTCAATATTGGCTAGCGCATGGAGCATGGCAATCCGGCTCTTCAATGTACCTCCTCGCCCTGTCCTCGGCATGGCGCCGGGGTTGACGGTGAGCATCTTCTCGCGGGGCGGCTGGTCGGGTGCAGCCACGGTGCCTCTTCCAAGTTCCATGGGTGAGGAAGAGGCCTCTCTCTCAGTGAAGATAGTGAAAAGGTGCGTGGTCAATTCAATCTTGTGCTCAGGGTGAGCGGTATTCAGAATATGAACCGCCCAGTCGCATAATGTCGCATTGTCATCCAAGTAGCGAGCCATTCCGGAATTCTCCTGCTTAGCTGCTGGTGTCTCTGATGGTCGCGCATTTTTCAATTTGACTTTCTCGCTAACGGGCTCGATCTTGGCGAGTTCCACACGTAAACCATCTTCAACGGGGAAATCTAACATGACATTTTCCCCGCGCACGTCAATCGGGTATGTGCATGCTTTGATACCCACACTCGACTCTCCAGTCTCCACGTTAAAATCATATGCGTGCCAAGGACAACTGGCCACATATGCTGAATCCTCAATATCAATCAGAGAGTCTGCCATCGGCCCACCCGCATGAGGGCATTCCGCCTCCATGGCGTAATAGGACCATCCTTCCTTCTCGTTGGGTTTTGAGCTGTTCGGGTCGATCGACGGCAGGCGAAACAGCACCAGCCGTTTTCCCGTGGACATATGAATTACATATCTTGCCTGGACGAAGCCTGTCAGAGGCCCACAGTTGATTATCATTTTGAAGATGGATAGTTGCGCTGGGCTCTGAGAGAAGAGGTTCGCCTGATGCCAATTTTTTGAAGGATCACGTGGAATGCGGGACCAATAAACTTTTCAAGCGGGAATAAGTGGGGCCATTGTTTCCCCTTAGCATCATACCATATGGGGATTAATCGCCACTGCATATGGAGTCATCGGTCTGGAATACCTCGTTGGACATGTTAAACATTTTAGCAAAAATTAGAGCATGATAGAATACAAATTAATATTATAGCTACCCAACTTACAGACAATCATCAATGATTTCAATCCTGGCTTCGGGGTAGCACCAACCACTAGGCATTTGAAATCCATTCGGGTTGTCTATTTTACTTCAATCCAGCATTTCACTTCAACCGAACTTTCTGCCGAGAAAAAGACCAACTGATCCCTTAGTGAACCTTGCCCCTTTCTCCATCTAAACGACCTCATGGTTCCGTAGATTATCTATCGTGGCTTCCTCAGACCACCAAATGTTCTCGATTCAATTTATCAGCATTATCTTAAATGCCTCTCCAAATGTTATGAGGCCTCGTTCAATTTGTCGATTCAAACAGAGTCTGTTCCGGCTTTGCGGTGGAAGTTTGATGTGTTTAGAATGGAGGAAGAAGAAGTTGTTGCTAGGTGAAGACCAAGTAAGAAAGATCAGGAAAGAACCTCAGCAATCAGTCTCATAGATGATCGTAATGCATTTTGGTGTATCTTCGGATTCCCGAGTTACGGCCAGGTTCAGATGCATGCTCCGTGAGGACATCCATTGAGGCTGAGTTGGAAGAGCGTCAGGTGATATATTACAGAAAGAGACAAATACAAAAGGATAGCGCATATAGTCGACATCAAATAGGAGCCTTGGATATCGAGCCTGATCGGTGGTGAGCAGGAATATGTATTTCAATAGACTTGCTTCCGAAAATCAATTGCCAGAAACTGGAAGGCACAAGTCCCAAGAGAGACACAGGTTTCAAGAAGCAAAAGTGACGAAAAACAACGGAAAAGGCTAGTAGAAGATGCTCAAATCGTGAGGAATATGCCATCAAAGATGTTCAGGCTGCCACTGGTGTGCAAATGATTAAGGTTATGGGTCTAAGTCAAAGGAGGCAATGGTGACTAATCGAACACTAAGCCTATATCAGTTAGTGGATATAGTTTTCCCTGATCTGGTAAACCGACACCACGAAAATGCCGCCCATTTCAAAGGACAAGATTTTACTATCCGTGTTATGTATGCAGATATGCGCTTGAAGGCTGGACAAGTGATTTCGAAGTATTATGAGGCGCTATTCCCAATTGGGCACTGTTACGCTCTTTTTATTTGTTGCAAGTGGACTCCGGAGACTTTTAGAAGCTGAACAATGTGGACTTTGAGTGACTGATTATTCAGTGGAAGGAAAGTCACCAGAACAGCGACAGTACTAATTCGGGAACCAATCCCTGGCGGTACTCTTGCAACGACCCGTGTCAGAGGTAAGAGTGTTGATGCTGGTGGATTCGAAGGGAACAATTCTCCCATTACTCACACACCCCAGTCAGACAGATAGCCATGGAAATGTTATTGCATTTTGAATTTGCCATGACCAAGTATCAGCTTAGGTAACTCACTACGTTTCTGGCTACGGCTGAGACCGAGCAATTTGAGAGATTGAAAATCATTACCTAACTCTGCAACACAAACGAAATAGGCTAGTTGATGACATGTAGCTTTCGTGGCTCAGGACTACTGTACAGTAAGCTAACCAAAGAAGCCGAGCGGCTCGCTTATATATGCAACGAATGGCGTAATCTCCGCTGACTCCGAATGCAGAGCTAAACAGCGGTGAAGAATGTACAATATCTAACACACCAAAAGTCTTGACCATTCCCGGTAATCTTCAACAAAATTATGCCAAGAGAACGGTGATGCTTGGTCTCCCGCCATTGCGGCATGAGGGGATAAAACCTTATCTCAAGGCGACCAGCTCACGGACCACCCGAGGTGCACACAACACCATGGTCATGATTGGTGTGTTCACCGGGAAGAGCAAGGTGGAGCAAGCTGCAAAGGGGCCGGACCAAGTGGAGAAAGATCGTCTGTTATTGAAAAATGAGTCTCGTATGAATTCAGAGTCCATGGGACACACGATGGACCATAAATTCAGATTCGAGTTGATGATAGACGGAAATAGCGGGAAGGCGGAAAGCTTGCGGACTAATCATTTGAACCCCTTATTTTTAAGGATTTGCGGGGTGGACCGCAAGTGGAAAATCAATTCAACGCGACCTTATGCCACGTTCTTACGTGTCGCATAACGATGTGAGACAGCATTACTGCAGATAAGCACAACAAGTGAAATTTTGCTACACCGGCCACGGGAGTCGCCTAAGTTCAGCTTGCGCAGGCCGAGATCGGGCCCAGCTATGACCATAGTGGATCCCTGCGATGGGCGGAAATCCTGGGGCTATTGGCTACGATGACTCAAGTTACATTATTTTCGCCTGGAGCTCTTGGCTATTTCTTCTTGCGTTTTTCCGTTTCCCCCTTTTTCCATTTTCTCATCGCTTGCATAACTTTCTTTTGGTATTGTCCCAGCTGTGCATCCTGGTTGCATTAGTTGTGCGCGGCCAAGAAGCTCGGACATTATTGCTTTGTCCCTTGAGCCGAGGATCAGCACCTGGGTGATCGGCATCTGAGGAGTCAACTTCTCTTTTCCCCCTCACATTCTTGTCCGCGAACCCATTGGTAAACAAGCGAGCTGCGTGGGTGGTCGTTTCCCAACCATGACTGTGACAGGTAAGTCTCATATCCACCAAATTCGTCTCTGGCGCATGAGTACTCGATTTATTTCAGTGCGGAGATCGGTGCTGACAGGTTATTTGGGGGTAGATTTCAAATCGGAAACTGGCGACGGCCAGGTCTTTCCAGAACAAGTCGACAGTCCGTCCATCGACCATGAGCTTCCTCCGCTTCGATCAACCACAGAGCGGAAGCTAATGGCCAAGATTGACTGGCACATTTTGCCATGTCTCTGCGTGCTCTACCTTTTGGCTTTCCTGGATCGGTATGGTTTCCCGCTTGCGATCCGGATTTTAAGACACGAGCGCTGATATTGATCATCGGGTGTATAGGGTCAATATCAGTAATGCGGCTACTTTGGGCCTCACGGACGACCTGAACATTGCGACTGGCATGAAATACAATATTGCGCTGACGATCTTCTTCGTACCCTACATCATCTTTGAAATTCCGTCCAATATCCTTCTGAAGAAATTCAAGCCTCATGTCTGGTGTATGTCGTTCGGTTTGATTGTTGTCTTCGTGGAGAGAAAACTAACGCTATCTAGTACCACTTTGCATGTTTGGCTTTGGTCTCGTCATGGTCTGCCAGGGCCTGGTCTCTAACTGGGGAGGATTGATGACCACCCGTTGGTTCTTGGGAGTGTTTGAGACCGGCATGTTTCCCGGATGTAAGTAACGAACCAAAGGTCTTTATACGGTTCGGTGGTTCTGATAACTTGGTAGGCTTCTACCTCTTGGGTATGTGGTACAAGCGAAGTGAAGCCCAGAAGCGTTTCAGCTTCTTCTTCAGTTCCACCACACTTGCTGGCGCATTCGGTGGTGCGCTAGCGTATGGTATCTCACAGATGAACGGAGCTCGTGGCTACAGCGGTTGGCGGTGGGTCTTCATCATTGAAGGTTGTATCACCTGCGTGGCTGCTTTTATCCTGTTCTTCTGCATGCCCGATTTCCCAGAGGACGTTAAGTGGTTGACCGATGAGGAGCGCGAATTTGTTCGTGCAAAGCTGGCTAAGGACGTCGGAAAGTCTGCACACCATGTCAGTATGGGCTGGCGTGAGGTTGTGGCTGTCTTCAAGGACTGTAAGTTTCCTCTAGGGCTTGACTATAAGTACAATTTGGATACTGATTGGTACAATAGACAAGGTCATTCTTGGAGGCTTGATGTACTTCGGTCTCATCGTTCCAGCATATGGTTAGTTACTCTCGATGGCTTTTGATCGACATAAATAACTCAAGTGATCTAGGATATGCATACTTTGCGCCCTCTATTATTAAAAGCTACGGATACAGCTGTATGTCCTATCTTCCTGTGTCTTCAGACCTTGGCTAACTTGATATGCAGCGGTGAAAACGCAATTGTACTCCATTCCACCGTGGGCAGCCGCCTTTGGCTTCTCTATGGTGATTGCGTTCTTCTCTGATCGTATGAAGCACCGCTATGTGTTCACATTAATTCCCATCCTGGTTTCTATTGCTGGGTTTGCCATGCTGCTAAGCATCCACGGCAAAGAGCACAAGTCGGCCGAATACGGTGCACTCTTCCTGGTGACAAGTGGTGCCTACAGTGCGATGCCCGTCATTGTGTGTTGGTTCGCTATGAATTTGGGTGGTCACCACCGCCGCAGCATTGGCACTGCGTGGCAGGTTGGGTTCGGCAACATTGGTGGTATCATCGCTACCTTCAGTTTCCTGAGCACGGATGCCCCGAAGTACACCAAGGGATACAGCATTTGCATTGCGTTCGCTTGTCTGTCTATAATCTCTTGCACAGTATACCTCGTAGCAGTGTGGTTTGAGAACCGCAAGCGTGACAATGCTGCTGTTGATCCCAATGCCATTACGGAGGAGGAAGAGGAGTTCCTTGGTGACCTCGCACCCAGTTATCGGTATAATTACTGATAACATGACGTTGCCATTTAGGGTTGAGGATTCCGTGGTTCGCCCTTAGGAATGACGGATTTCCGAGATATCTATGATGCACATGAGTTGGAGCTTTAGAGCTCTGAAAATACATAATGGTTGAAGTTCTGGTCTTTGATTTTCGGGTTCTGTGTGATTAGGGTAGAATATTCAATACATGGAAATTGTCGATTTTACGAAAAGAATTGAACCCACATTAATCATTGATTCATTCATATTCTTATTGTTTCGATGGAAAGCAATCTATGATGTGCGGAAACCCTATTTCCACTGTGTGATGCAATTCATGGGTCACGTGCCCCATATTGGCGATGTCAATATGTCCTAAAGAGGTTAGTGCCTCGCTTAGCTGAGTAAGCTGCCCACTACACAAATGCGCCGCGGGCCGCCTTTGCATTTGTCTTTCTTCACTATCTCTCCTCATTTTCGCAGAACTGTTAGTCGCCACCCAAATCCCCGTTTCGGACTGAGTTTAGCTAACCAGGTTACAGTAACATCTACGAAGATGAGAGCTAAGTGGAGAAAGAAGCGCGTTCGCCGTCTCAAGCGCAAGAGAAGAAAGATGCGTGCCAGATCGTGAGTTTCTCAAAGCGATCGTTCTATGCAGCTCAGTTCTGACCAAACACAGCAAATAAACAACTCGCCCCCTCCTCCTCAGCTCCTCTTGTCGAAGCTCAAGTTTGAACACTGAACACACCAATTGATGACCCGATGGACAACATCGTTCCTTATCGTGTCACGCCTTTCAACAAACAAGTTACCTGTCCGGATTCGGTTTCCGCCATTTGAAGAATCCGCAGTCGCTCGACGGAATCCACGTTCAAACAATATTCGGTTTCCCACAATTATCCAATTCTCTCGGATTCCTACAACGTCGTTTGTTCTGTTGCCGGACATGGGTTGAGTGGACACCCACTTGATGTCAAACTTGGAGAGGCGATTGTGTTTAGTTGAGGGTTGGAGATTGATTCTTTTGGGTCAATCTGAGCTCGGTACTGGGGTTCTGTTCAACTACTATGCTCATTTTTAAAATTTAACGATCCCTGAATTCGTTCGAGGACCGGAGCTATGGAGCGGTTTTTACCGAGAGTTTACAATCAAAAACTGGAATTAGCTCGGAGGTCCTTGGTTTCGATAGCTATGCTTGCCGATGAATCGATGACACTTTAAGAGTATTTTGCTCTATGATTTCTTGTAGCTGTAGCCTGGCGATCTCGTCTTCCTGAATCTCGTAAATACTGGGTATGCACTTGATATGCTCAAAATGTTTTGTGCGGATCCCCACTCACCGCCTTTGAGATCGTCTCCGCAACGGATTTTTTTCTGCCCGTGCCATTCGACATTTATTTCGACCGAGATACGACGATCAACTATTAAGGCTACACGCTCGGAACTCCTTTGTGGTTTTAGCCGTAGTTCCTGCGATCGAAATGCCGTCCGATAAAACAGAGAAAAAGCGCAAGCGCGTCTCGGAACGCCATGAGCGTCCCAGCAAAAAGGCCGTTCTGGAACTGCAGGCCCTCCCGCCGTTGGCAGCTAGCGTTGTCGAGGATCAGAGCGAGCTGGCTCCAGTGATCGGTATGAACAACTGGAAAATATGTGATATAAATCTGGGTACTGATTCTTGAACAGCTACGACGCCCGGTGTGCTGAACTCGAAGCCCATTCAATTCGACCCATACCTCAAAGCCCGCGATGGCAAACGAGCGACTCTTGCTCGGAACCCAGGAATTACCTCCTCGGAGATGCTGCTGCAGTCATCTGAGCATGAGAAGATGGATTTTGTTGGCCGTGAGGGAACAGGAGACGATACAGACTCGCAGCTCAAGCACTACGTTGCTATCGCGGACCCAGAGAACAAGACATGGCAGATTGTGGAAGCGCGGCGAGTGACTCTTCGCGGCGGTGTCCGCACTGTTAAGAACGATGAGGAGGACGAATCTGAGGAGGAAAATGTATGTTTTGAGACACTGTTGGGTTCTGTTTTGGGGTATCTAATGCTGACTGATGCAGAACACTATGCGCGCTCAACGCACGGCCTTGACCAACACATTCGGTACGAAGCAGTCTCGCAAGGCTGTACAGTCCATGGCCGAGAACGCTCAACTATCCAACGCCCCGGCTGGATCTGTCACCGAAGCCGGTGCTGCGCTTATCTCCTCTTTGCCCGCGGATGTTGCTTCTGGGAAGATCAAGGCACTCAATGTGCAGGCCGAGGTGCAAGCAGCCAAGCCCTTGCCCACCCCCAACCTTACCGCAGCTCACCCGCTGGATTTCTACCCTATCGAGACTTTGGTTCCAGGCGGAAGCTCGACTCTGCGCCAATTGACCGGCATCGAGGAATGGAAGCAACAAGTGGAAGCTGGTCTGGCTATCACTACTGGTTCCAGATATGTCGCCAATCGCGTCGAGGCAGTCGTCCTCTCCGGAAACCAGGAGAAGCTACAGGTTCTCCGATTCATCCAGCTGCTGCTGGAATTCGCTCGTTCCCTCAAGTCGGGCCGTTCCGCTGGTGCTGGCCCTGGCAGCAAGAAGTTGCCACCTCGTGACGAGCTTCGCAAGATTCTTTCCAGCACATCCGGAGTCAAGGCTGACGACTCTGACGAGTCCTCTGTAGAGCTTCTCCCGGACTCTGTTCTCGACGCCCTCCGTCGCCGCTTCGCCCCAAGCGGTGGCTCCGTCAGCAAGCACGACCTGACCCTCCTCCACACCTCTATCTGTGCTCTCTCCCTGCACATCCCCCCGCAACCCGCCAAGGACGGTGGATCCAGCTCTATGGGCGGTAACGCTCCCAATGAGCTGGCAACCGACCCCGCAGATCTCCGTGACGACCTGCGTCTCGACTCAAATACTGTGCAGCAATACTTCCGTGAACTGGGTTGTCGCATCGACCGGCCCCGCGAGTCAGAGTACGCCAAATGGAACATCAAGGGTGGACGTGCTGAGGCAAATGCTCGTCGCGTCGCTCGTCTGCGTATTCCCGTCGAGTTCCCCAAGGTCAGCCGTGGAGGCAAGAACTAAGCTTGTCGAGTTTGATAGATGCGAGCGGTTAGACTGTTGGGCGGTCTAAAATTTTATGCCATTGTGATATATCCGGCGTTCCACCTTGAACTCAATTCAAAATGTTATTATATGAATAAAACGATTTGCATACGCATACAACTTTATCCCAGTCTTTGTACACCTAAACGATTGCTAAGCATACTAGCTGGACCTTCTGGTCCCAGTTCCTGGTTCTCTCGGCGCAGGCACTTGCAGGGCTATCTACTTCTCTAGGTCCTTTTAAAACGTCCTATCATGGGACCCACCACAACAGATACGGTGTATCTGGATGCATAGAGTCCTACACATATACCGACAGCGATGGTGGACTCTACCACAGTTGAGACCAAGTTCGACATCACCCTTGCTCAAATCTACCAGTGGAATCCCAGTGTTGGCTCTACATGTACCAGTCTATGGATGGGAGAAGCATACTGTGTTAAGGGCCCGTCGTCAACCATCAGGGCCACCCGCACGACAACGAGTGCTCCCACCCAGACGGGAATTGCGTCCAGCTGCAATGAGGATTATACCAAGGTGGCTGATGATTCGTGCGCCAAGTTCGAAACCACCTATGATATCGAAAATGCAGAGCTATGATATCTTGCTATTGGATCTGACTTTGAATATCTAGAGGTTGGGTACTCAGTATGCGTGGGAGTTTCTTCATAACATGATGGCCGTTTCGTAGTTGAACCTGTAAACATAAAGCTATAGCGTTTGAGAGAAGAATTGTATCACCACTTTCAAACCCTGCAACTCTGGAACCTGGTCACCCCTGGGCTATGCCCAACTCCCTAACTGACCGAGCTGTCCATGTGCCCTCCTCCCCCTCTCCCGTCACTTCATCATAAGAACCTGGGGCCCTTGATACCCATGATGACCAGAAGAGTTCTTCGGACTACACACTTCCCTCGCATTTATAGCCAATATGCACTTTGCTCCCGCCCGAGTATTCTTGGCTTCCCTACTCCCATCAACAACCCTTCATGTCTCGTAAAGTCCGCGTATACACCACCGCATCTCAACAATACTACTGCATCTTCAAGAACAATGTCTACTCCCTCGAAACGCGATCCCAAGATGGATGCCGGTCTGAACGAGGCTGATCGACTCGAGGCGCTCCTTGAAAAAGACAGCTTCAAAATATGGGGCTTTGTGATCTACCGCTGCACGTACCAAGATAATGCCGAGTGGGAGAAATTCATGGCTCGCTTCCTAAGTGCAGTCCCAGAGTTCCTACAGTACTACAGTGGTCTTGATCTCCTCGATACATTCACCCCAACGGTCTTCGAAGACCCCCCTCTTTCGAGGGTGCGACGGTAGTCACTCTCCGCGAGCACTTCAATCAGTGGGCGAAGACTGCAAGGCAAGAGGAACAGGGCGTTAGTGAAGACTATCGTGCCCGTACAGGGCGCTATCGGTTTTTCATCACGGTGAACCAGGAAGCTTTGGAATCTGTTCTGAACGCCCCCGAGGATTTTGATGAGGAGGTGGCGTTTGTTCGCATGGTCCATGCTGAATGGGAGCCGCGGGAATATGACGAAGAGGATATTGCGAATGGCGATGTCGATCCTCCTGAGGAACCGCTTGAGGGTTGCACGGAACATGATGTTGGTTGGATGAAGATGTATTAGCGGATTACGGAGTTGCCGGGTTTCGGGCACTTGCGTGATATCGAGGACTGGCAGACGCATTATGTTCGGTCGCCTAAAGTTGGAGATATTCTTTGATATCTAGTCTAGTTGCCTTGGTGGAGATGAAAATTAGTCTTCATCTTCAAGGCCTCGTAGTCCCTTACATATTTTCGACATATCTCATTCACCTGAATGAACATTACACTTCACAAAAAGCGCTACCGGCCCCGAGGTACATATTTTAGAAAGAATTGAATATTAGACAAACAGCCGAGACTATCCAGAGAAGAACATAGGGCTTGATAGTGCCCTGGGAAAGTTTTTGGATTCCGTTGAGCCAGGATCTATCAGACGGGTGCAGAGCTATACCCTACTGTATTAGGCATTAGTCACGGATCGCACAGCTAAATAGCATTCAATCCTGCTTGTATTCGATCTTCGCTAAGTTCCCTCGCAGACAATGTATTGTCGAGTGCTCACTGTAACAAGATCGAGAACTCGAATCATATATATAACCTCGACAATTCTGCCCTCTCTTTTGTCTCTAGTCATTCGTTATTCTACGTGGAGTTACTGGAGTACGGACGTCTTTCCTTCAATCGAAAGAAGCGCCTACATCACTACCGCGATGACTAGCTAGGGAGCGTTAGGTTAATAAGATATCATCATCATTATCATTATAATATACAACCTCAGGGGTATCCTAAACAACGATCGATGCAACTTAGATTCAAGGGAAATATTCCTGGGCAGCCTCATGGTCATGTGCCGCAGGTGTCGCTCCAGGAGTTGCACGACTCGCTCGTCGGTCGGCATGTTTCTCGCGATCAGCAGCGAGCTCCTGAGCGAACTTGCTCTTCTTGCGGATCTCGGGACCCTTCCAATAGAATACATAGATAGGAATCAATACCAAGAAACCAACACATCCAAGCAATGTGCTAGCCCATTGGAGATGATACTTTCCTCCCATATTCTCATACATAGGCGTCGCATACATCGTAGCGACACCAGCGAGGAAGTCTCTGGCAAAGCCATTGCCACCCGTAGCGGAGGCAGAGTACGGACCGTAAGCTGCAACCATGTAATCGATGGTCGCCATGTAGATGGCGTAGTTAGCCATAGCGATAAGACAGGAGAAGATCAAGGGTGCGATCCATGGGATTGGGGGACCCATGGATGTCCAGGCGAAACCGAGGAGACCGATCGGTTCGAGGGGAGCGATGAAGAGGAGGAGTAGGAGTCTACGCTCGGCGTATCTTGATGCAACACCGTGCTTGCGGCGTGTCTGGATTTGACGATACACGTCTGGCAGGAATATCACGTAGGCGATGATGTATCCGAGTAGAATCGAACCGAAGGTCATACCAATGGCGAGGGTGCTCATGTTCCACTGTTTGAAAACTAGAGTAAAGGACTCGGTGAAAACGAAGATGAGGGCATCGGAGAAACCAGAGAGAAGGGAAAGGAACAAGACGATAGGTTCACGGAGGAACATCTCAAAAGGTCGCATCCAAATTTTGAGGACCTCCTTCGCATCTAGACGAGGGGATTTCAATTCGTTCGGGCCATAGACTTCTTCTTCGCCGCTCTTCCTGCGACGTTTCGCTTCATTATCCACCATAATTGTGGAGCGCGTCTCTGGGACCAGGAAAAAGTGTAGAGCCTGGGTGGCACCACCGAAGATCAGCTGGACCCAGAAGATCCAAGGCCATGAGAGGTATTGCCCGATGATACCACCGAAGAATGGACCGATTGTCGAGCCACCCACGGACGAAAGCACCACGTAGGCAACGGCGTAACCCTGATCATCGGCTTCCCACATATCAGCAGTCATACCCAGTGTCACTGAGCCACCAGCCGAACTCAGACCGCCCAAGATACGACAAACGACAATTGTGCCGTAGTTCGGTGCGAGCGCACAGGGGATTTGCCAGATGTTCACGAAGAAGAGTGAGAGCTGCATGATGGGCCAGCGACCGAACTCTTCGGACCAGGGAGCCCAAAGCTCACACCCAAAGGCATAAGCTATGAGGAAGACAGCTTGGCCGACACGGGCCGCTTGCTCACTAATCTCGAACTCCTTGGTCAAACCCGTCACGGCATTGGCGTAGACGCCAGAGTTGAAATTCATGGACATCTGCACCACGAAGATCACGGTAAGAATGGTCCATTTCTTCCATGTGGGAAAACAGAAACCCAATTTCTCGTAACAGTCATCTTCTGTGAGCTCGCGCTTTCCGGACTTCTCAATCTTCGGGGTATATTCTCGGCTGGTCTCGTCTGATTCGGAAGCGTTTTCGGCGTGGGCATCGTCGCCTCGTTCGGTCTTTTTCGCGGCCTCGGATGGTTTCTGGATTTGGTCCTGGTCCTCCTTCTCCGCCTCCCGCTTCTCGAAAAGCGACGAGTTCGCTGGGGAAGCCATGTGGCAAGTGAGTTGGGCCTGGTCTGTCCAGGGGCAAAGGGTCGGGATATGCTTGTATAGAAATAAAAGTGGAGGCAGGAATGTGGGTATGGGGTATAAAGTATAAAAGTGGATTCAGTCCTGTGGGAGAGTAAGGAGACAATTCGAACCAAACACCAAATAGCAGATCCAGACTATCGCAGGCTCTTGGTGATTTATATGTATGACCAGCAGATCCATAACAAACCGGTGTCGCCATCTTGGATTGCTTGATCACGTTCCTAAACAGGAAACCCGAATGCAACGACAGTGCCTCCCCATATTATCAGACCCAACGGGACGATTCCTGTACATGATTCGTCCAAGCACCACGACCCCACCATCATCCAATGACATTGCAGCCTGAATGGTTCAATGATGTAGGAAATGGATTCGTGGGGAACGGGAAAACCTGTTACGGCTGGCGCGCCTCACGGGCCGTGGGGCCCGGATCGTCGGCAACCCGACGTCGACGTCATTTGCGCCCGTCCTACGTCAATTCATGGGGAAGTCGCCTCCATTCCATCCGGACTGCATGGAGGGCTTCGCATTCGTTTTGCATTTGCCAATAGATTCTTTCGACTTGTGGGGCATGAGGAGGGGTGAGCAGGGGGGCTAAGCGTGGTATGTTGTCATAGTTTAATCATTGATCTAACAAACACCAATGAAGAGCTGTGATTTTTGAAATAGCTCTACATCTCCAGATTCCAGTTCCACTTGTTATACCTTGCAGTGTGCGTGGAGGACCACGAGGCTATCCGCTTTTTATTCTCCGGATCCTGGAAAGAAATGCCTGGGGAACCCACCAGGTACTTGGGGATACTACTGAGTGGAAAGGGAACAGAAGGCATGCATACGAGGACCATGCAGGGATCAGCAGAAAGGATGAGGTTCGTAAAAATTATGAAACAAACTTAGTCCGACGCCCAGGGGCGTCAAGGATTTGGGCCTTGATCAACAAGGATGCTACTTGCAACTCGTCTGCGCCCGCAAAGTCACTCAGAACCGGCCGAAAAGAAACCTCCCCACTCACGTCCATATCCTTGTGGAAATGCAACGGAAAATGACCGAGGAGCTGATTCGAGACTCGCATCGACCACTAAGTGCTTCTATGGTGGAATCCCAATTTACTGTTACAGTATCTGTCGGTCAACTCCGACGGCAAAAAAAGTTACGCGACAGGCGGCTAAACCATTCACCCTCCCCAGCAACGAAAGTCTATTCCGACACCACAGTGAACATGAATGAATCTCGCAAATCAAAGCGCCATAAGACGTCAGAGGGGTCTTGGCTCCTACATAATCTGATGCTCGTGCCATCTATGTGATATGCAACCAATCCTGACCGCAAACCTCCCAAAACCGGATTCAAGCCCCAGTTCCTGAGTTTCGGGTCTAATCGGATTACAGCCCCAATGCATGATCCGCACACGTGGATGAAGAAACACGTGCCCCTGGTCTGTTTTGAATCTACAACGCAAAAGGATTCGAGGCTTTCTCGCACAATTTGTTAATTGGCCGCAGATAAGACTTTCTCCGAAAGAATATTCATTCCATATGTACAAATCTCCACTAGTTTCCTGCGATTTGCGAAACGACGTATATGCAGCATACTTATATCTCTTCCACCAAGTGTATACAAGTACAAAAGACGTTTTAACAAGTCTTCTTGATACTAAAGGGGTGACACTCTGTGTTGAACACATACTTATCCAAGCTTACAACATCCGGCTCAGCGAAAGAGAGGTAAAGATACTTCAAGACCTCGGCGAAGTAAAAGCTAAAGCGACCCGAAATTAGCAAAGCTAGGGAGGATTTCACGGAACAGAGGAACTCACCTGGACACATAGTTAACCAGCGTACCGCCATAGGGTTCATTGACATCGGTAATCTCCGCATAAGGCACAGACTTCGAGCGAGTGGTATTCAGCGCATTGAAGATCTCCCAGTTATAATCCTGCCAGCGCTCATCACCAGTCACGCGGTATGCGTAGAAGATGCTCTCCAGGGGCTCAGGATAAGAGCGGTAAGAGGGGTCTTCAATGAAGTACCCATACTTGGAGGCTTCCGTGCGGTATGTGGCGTCGTTGTATGATGAGTCGTAGGGTTGATTGCTAGCATTGTACCATCCGATCGCTGAGGATTGTTAGTGAAGTGATAAGATCGACTAGAAGCTAAGGATGCGTACAGGAAGGTCCCAGTCCCGTAAGAGTCTGATTGTACCACAAGTGGCAGCTGTCGGCTACCTTCACGCCAAGATCAGTGATGTCGGGACGGTCGAGGTATTTACCTCCGAGCAGTAGGTTACCGCCAGCAAAGCAGGCCTAGGATAAGATTAGTATATGAATCGGTTGGAGTTGATCAATTGGTCACTCACGTAATCATCCATGCTCCACATAATGTTACCGTTTACATCCAGTTGAGACAGGAAGGTGATATGTGGCTGGTTATAAGGGTGCAGAGCAATATTCTTTATGCTGGATTCGGCAGTGGTGATCCAAAAGTCTTTCATATCGGAAGCGAGCGAATCGTCACGGTCGTAGACGTAGGTTTTGATAAGGTACTAAGAGATTTCAATATTGGCGCATGTTAGAAACCACCCACTGCGTCTACTTACCTCGATAAAACTGTCGACACCCGCTTGCCATCCACCATCAAGAGTGATGAATTTGCCAGTGTCGGTGTCTAACTCCGTACCCACAAGGCCAGGGAAGGCCGGGGCAGGGTTGGGGTTGACGAGATAATTTTGAGCTTTCTGGGCCTGTTTTACCATGTTAGCTGACTCGCCTTCCATGTGAGCTAAGAAGTATATTGAACATACATGCTCACGAAAAGACTCATCGCCAGTGAGATCTGAAAGACGGTAGTATTCCAAGATCATAGTACCCGCCTGGGCCGTATTGGTACTGTTGTACTGCGTACCATTCACCGTAGTTGTGCTTTGCACAAGCTCCCCGGAAGTGAAGTTCAGATTTGCAACGGGCAGACCGGTGATCGTGTCGAAAACAGGGCTAATAGCCGTAGCCAGAGACTTGGCCTGAGACAAGAGCGCTTCGACAAGATCCTCATCATACGGATTCGGAAAATCACCGCTCTTGATGAGGTCGTATGCACTCAGAAGTCTATATAATGAGTAAGCAATGATACATGACGCAAAAAGAGGAAATAATTACCCGCCAAGATAGCGAATATTCACATCGAAAAAGTCGACGAGATAAGCGGATTTCCTACCAAGTATTAGCTTCATCATCATGGAGACCGGATTGGTACATACGTAAAATCTACAGAAGCAATATGCTTCAATTGCTGCTCCACAATGTCGGTTAGACCCATCACAACGGCTGTATCGATAGCATCCACGACGGTAGCACCCCAACCAAACAAATCATTGGTATAGCTTTGCGTGATGGGCAAGAGGTCATCATTAGGGAAAGCATATTTCGAATACTCGTTCCACTCGCGCACATAGGCCTCTTTCACGGCTTGAGCCCGAGGATCATTCTTGTTTGTTCCAGCAGGAAAATCAAACTGCACCGTGCCGCATGTCGCGGACGAGCGTGGGTGCGAGGGTGCGGCACTGGCCTGGCCGAGCACGGCCAGAGCTAGTAAGGCTTGGGAGAGATCTGGAACCATGCTGATCTTTCAGGCTTAACTAAGCTTACAGTGTCTGGAGGAGTGATGATCCAAGGCTAGAATAGAAGGGAGGACATGGTGATCGGACCTAGGGATATATACTAATTGTTGTAGTGGTCTGGACCCCTGCAGATTAACAGGGGAATGGTTACATTGCTTGACCGTTGCAGTTTCCAGAATTATTGATCTCTCTTTATGTTTAAGCGATCTGTTGACTTTGACTTCGTTAGCTTATCTCCCCTTACTCTAATCTTGTGTTGCTTTTTTCAGATATTTCTCCCCTTTTTGTGTCTACACGAGAAGATAGAAGGGAATCGCGAAAATCGAATCTACAAAGTTCGCCCATTTCTGAACGGAGGATGGCAGATCAGGATCGTGACTTTTCAAAAAGAACCAGGTGATGTAGACCATTGCCATAGTCAGACTCAACGCCGTGCATTGACCATGACCCCTGACCAAGCTTTCTAGCGGAAGCATCCGCCTTCGGTGGAATGAATGCCGATTTATGCGGAGATGCTCAAGTCAGATCAGATCGAGGGGAAAGTAACACGTCAAACGATACTACCATGTCTTTCACCCATGCTATGGATTGTGGAAGAACGGTGTCAAACATTGAGAACCCCGCCACATACCCCTGCAGAACTCAGCATCATGTGGCGTTATTATTCCCCCTTTACCCATAACAATAACACCAGATCCAATAAAAGCATATTTGAACCTTTCAACCCCGTATCGCAACGCTCCACATCTCTCCCGCTCGTATCCTTCAGGAAGTGATCGACCGGCTACTGATAACCCCGAATCGAGACGGGCTTAGCCATATCAGCTGGGTCTAGCACTAACAGATTAAATGCTACCCCAGAGTCAGTGCGAGGTCAACAGGTCCACTTTGAGATGAATGGAAGGGCATTTTGATGAATAGAGCAGTAGGCTCTTAATTTCCCTAAATGCCGACACACTGGTCTACACTGGGAATTTATCCGGAATACCCCTGTCACTGCCACCAGTCTGTATATCTGTGGATCCAGTTGTGGAGGTAACTGGCTTTCCAGGGCTGGAGACCCGATTCAAGAAGGCAGATGCTGCTATAAAGAATGGGCCGGTGTTTGATGCAGATGCCAGGGCTAAAATCACACGTGAGGGCTTCGTCACTCACGCCCTACTATACTCATCTCTTCTCTGGCTTTGGAATTTGAACAAGTCTTTTAGAAAAGATCAGTTATTTCTGGGTAGGGTATAAAAATAATTTTTTGCTTTTTCTATTATCTCTTCTTTCCATCATGTACTCACCACATACGATCTGCCCAAGCACCCAGACGGGTTCCAGATAACACGAACCCCAGTCAAGACAGACTTGAAACCGAGGCAAAAAGAAGTACCAAGTATGCACTGTTTTGGCATTGGGAACATCTTCTGGGTCTAGTATGAGAGGTTTTGCGTCTTGAGATAACCCACAACAGTTCCATGGAAGCGCCATCAGTCTATTAGAGCGTGGTCATCTCGCAGCTCAGAACTGTTCTTCGAGCCATCACTATGGCAGGCTCCCTTCAGCTTCAGAAGCCCTCGAAGAATCACGAGCGATATCGATACGTTGATTCAGTCAAAATGTCGAATATCGGTACCAAAGAAGGAAAACCCCCCTTACAAGCGAATTTTTTGACCCCTTCTGTGGGCCTTTCTACGAACAGTTCAAGAGCTAACACACCCTCAAAGCTGTATGTGCCGTTTTGCCTCCCTGTATCTTGTTTCTGTATGAAGCCGGCACTTGACTACGACGAAAGACAACTGAAACACTTTTCAACGACGGTCACCGATTCGTTCCCCCTTTATTCTCACGGGGTTGTGGATGGGCTATAGAGAGGTCCGCTATTGGCTCAATAGACTGATATCATTCTCATTTTTCGTTGAAAGGAACACAGCAAAGCTATGTATGAGAAAGAAGCGAATCAGGTTTCGAGCAGAAGTAGTGGCACCGTCAAATAAGGCTCCCGCTGAACCAGAGTGGAACGTTCTCCTTTCCGATGTATTCAAATCGCGGGCTACAAAAAGGCTTTGGCTGAATGACCGTGTTCCAAGAACAGTTATGGCTCTGGAACAATTACCATTTATTACGGACTCTCCTTATATCAATGCAAGGATTTGCAAAGAAGGCAACAACTTAGGGTTCACGTACTCGAATCGTATTGAAGTAAGCCATAGTGGACGAGCGTTGTTCCAGCCTAGATCAAATCGACTACAACAAATCAGTATGGTTCTTTCGACCGGCTACAGCTACAAGAAGTTTCAAAATTCTCCCCATCAACCAATTCATTTCACTTGCTCATCTCAACTATCATAGGTCACGGGATCATGTACACCTATGTATATCCGCATGAATATCTAACTAAATGCACCGGTACGGATATGTATGAGATGGAAATTGCAACAGCAATGATATCATCCGCAAATGCACAAGCAGTAGAAACGAGGAGGCAGAGTAAACCTCATATTAAAAACGGTGATGGGGGAAACAAAAAAAAAAAAAATAGAAAAAAAAATATTAACGGTAGATACCGAGAGCGCGTACGCATCAACGTGATTCGTGGGGAGAAAGAATGGACGGACAGTAGCCAGGAATATTATCCCATGTCCCCAGAGAGATATCTGGAAATTAGGCGACCACACCAACGGGGGTGGAAGCGATGGTCGAGGAGGCACGGGTACCCTGGGGAATGCCAGTCTTCATAAGTGGGACAGCGGTAGCCTGGGAAGCCTGAGCTCCGGCCTCGAGCTCACGAGAGATAGCACCCTCAAGAGACTCAGCTGGGGTCAGACCCAACTGGGCATCTTCCCAGATGGGCTGGTTGGCGTCTTCAGCGCCGGCAACACCGACACCGACGAAACCGCCGAGCTTCTCCCAGTCACTGGTACGCTTGATGCCCAAGTCGTTCCAAACGGCCTGCACGGCCTGAACCAGGTGGTCACGCAGCTCCTTAGTGTGGCCGGGAGTGGGGGTGATACGCAGACGCTCCTCGCCACGGGGAACAGTGGGATAGTTGATGGCCTGAACATAGATACCGTGCTCCTCGAGCAACTTATCCGAGGCGCGCTTGGCGACCTCGGCATCGCCGACAAGGAGGGGCACAATGTGCGAGGGATTGGGAATAACGGGAATGTCCAGATCCTTCAGGGCAGACTTCACTGCACGAGTGTGCAGCTGCTGAAGCACACGGTCACGGGGTTGCTCAGCCTGGTACTGAATGGCGGTGTCGGCACCGGCCATGGTAGCAGGAGGGAGAGACGTAGTGAAAATGAAGCCCGGTGCGAGAGAACGGATAGTGTCGACCAAGTTTGCAGAGGCCGCAATGTAACCACCAACACATCCGTAGGCCTTGCCCAGGGTACCAGTAATGATATCAATACGATCCATCACAGTTCCCTTGGTGCTCTTTGGAGAAGCAGTGTCCTGCGAAGCATAAACCTCGTAATCCAGGTGCTCGGCAACACCGGCGCCGTGGGGTCCGTACATGCCAACGGCATGCACCTCATCCAGGAAAGTGATAGCACCGTATTTCTCAGCCAAATCACAGATCTTCTCAATGGGGGCGATCGATCCACACATGCTGTACACGGACTCGAAAGCAATGATCTTGGGCACATGGAGCGGTAGCGAAGCCAACTTCGTTTCCAGGTCCACCAGGTCGTTATGCTTGAAGACCATTTTCTTTGCCTGAGAGTGACGGATACCCTGAATCATCGAAGCATGGTTGAGGCTGTCGGAAAGAATCACGCAATCGGGCAACTTGCTGCCAAGAGTAGCAAGAGTGGCGTCGTTGGCAACAAAGCACGAGCTGAAGACGAGCGAGGCCTCCTTTCCGTGCAACTTGGCCAGGGTGTCTTCCAGCTGCACTGCGTGTTGGTTGTGACCCGAGATGTTACGGGTACCACCAGCACCGGCACCGTAAGTATCAAGTGTGCGGTGCATGGATTCGAGCACTTGGCGGTTGCGTCCCATACCGAGATAATCATTGGAGCACCAGACCGTCACGCGCTCTTCGGTAGAGGCGGTATGGGCCCGGGGGAACTCCTGGGCGAGGCGATTGATGTTGTTGAAGTAGCGGTACGACTTGTCTTTGTGCTTCTTCTCCAATTCTCCGTTGTAGAATGCATTGTAGTCGAATTGGGCGGTGGGAGCAGTGGCTGATTGTTGGGCGTGAATTGCGGCTTCAGCGGCGGGGGCGGCACGAAGCGGGCGAGCAAGGTTAGGGTGAACTAAGCAGCCAATTAGCATCATTGGAGAGCGGAAAACATTCTATCACTCATTCTTACCCTGCTCATTCTTCTCGAAGGAGCCCGGAGCAACGCTGGCAGGGTGACCACCCGTGGTGTGCAGCGACCGCTTCTCAGTCGGAGCGCGGAGGGGCTTCATGGTGGGCACACCGGCCGCGGAAGAGGTGAAGCGCTTAGTCCCACTCATCCGGGCACTCTGGACAGCCAGAGCTTTGCTCATGACAGGGCAGCGGCGAGCGAGAACCTGCAAATTGGACATGGTTCCACCCCCGTGCTTGGGCGGGTGGCGGTCGACAGAGTCCGCAAGGTCGAGGGAGCGGTGCGCTTCAGGAAGGGGCACATAGCACGAGACTGCTGAAGCATTGCCTCCATGATTGCGGCGGTAGGATAGAAAATCGATTGAACCAACACGGGTGTGCTTTGAGAAGAATGGATTCAGGGCAAAGAATTGTACGGGATTTGAAAATCGGTCTGGGCGGGGGACAGCCTGACTCAGCCATTACAATCCAGGATTGCTGATTGGCGTACACGGGGACATTGCCGGAAGATCTTGCCCATCCCGGCTACATTAGTCATGCCGAGGGTCTCATGCAAATCGATAGTGGCGGCACTCTATACTGCCGTGGTCCGTCGAAAAGAGGAGAATGTCCGGTTCCGCTGCGGGGAAACTTGCTGATCTCGTGAATTGTCTCTTTGGTGCAACATTCCACGAAGGTCACACTGTATAGGGCTGACAATATTGGTGGTCGAGATTGGGTTTGAACATAGCTGATGGCATCTGCGCATGGATGGTCAAAGAGATTGTAGATTATTATTCCGTAGATATTTACTGTACACGTCCCGAGGAGTCTTAGCTTAAAACCTTGAAAGTACACCGACATCTAAAAGAAGGTACTTTTTGATCAGGCCATAAATGATCTCCGGAGTTCGGACTCGCTAATGGGACAGTTTTGGCATGAAGCATAAATCAGAATCAAAATCAAAATGAATCAATAATTGAACGTCTATCACAACGCATCTTTTTTCTGCCCCGTCATGCATCCACCTAGCCACTGCATCTTGCAAAGATAAAAGAGAAAGGAGGAATATCCGATATTTGAGGCCACGCTGATTCCTCCCAAAGAATCCGTTGATCAAGGTTGTATGGTAATACATAGCAGATCAAATAACCTGCCAAGAGAGAAGAAAGAGAAAAAAAAAAAAAAAAGACATAAGAATAATAGTATAAAGAGAGCACCACAGATCACATAACGCCGTCGCCCAGTTGCAGTTGCAGTAATTGAAACACCCACTTGATTAATCTAGACCACCGTCACCGTCAATTAGGCGAAGACGTTCGTTGGTGGTTTTAGCACGCTTGGACGTGCCTTTGCCAGGGCCTCGACCACGACCTCGCTTAGCCGCTGGCGCTGACGAGGACTCGACCGGTTCGGAAAGAGGAGTGGCAGCCCCGGATGGTTTGGCACTGTTATCATCAAAGTTTCCTTCGCCTGTAGGAGGATGAATTAGTGAGCTGTTTACAAAATGATTAGAGAGCTGAAGAATCTTACCTTCATGATACATGTCATCTAGCGTAAGATTACGTTTCCGTTTTGCCGCGGCCTTCTTTCCACCCTTGGCACCTCCCATGGCCTCACCACGTTCAATTGCCTCCTTCTCTCTTTGCTCGATAAGTTCGGCTTCATCGTCATCAGCAAGCCACAAGGCAATGTCCTTGGTACGGTTGTCGCGGGCCCGAGTGTTGAAATCGACTCCACCGGAAGCGCCACCAGTGATAACAACGCGTTGCACCTCTTCCTTTTGGAGAGCACGTTTGCGGATCCGCTCTTCGATGGTTCCGCGGGTAATCAGTCGGTACACAGTGACCTGGCGTGTCTGACCCAGACGATGCGCTCGGTCCATGGCTTGTGAATCAATGGTAGGGTTCCAATCGGAATCATAGAAGATGACGGTATCGGCGGCCGTCAGGTTGATACCCAAACCACCAGCACGGGTAGAAAGCAAGAAGACGAAGATCTCGGGGTTGCTCTGGAAGTCCGCGACAGTGTCACGACGATCCTCCAGCTTCGTGCTTCCGTCAAGTCGACAATACTTGTAGTTTCTGTATGTCAGATACTCTTCCATCAAGTCGATCATACGGGTCATCTGGAAGTACAGCAGTACTCGGTGACCGCCCGGCTTGAGTTCTCGTAGCAACTGGTCCAGTTTCGCCAGTTTTCCAGAGTCCGTCACGAAGCGACGCATCGAGGGGACTTCGATGTGAGTGTAGCGTGACTTGAGCGAGAGTGGCTGTGGCAGCATTGCGGGCAGCGAGTAGGGTGTGGGATCAAGGTTTTTCGTGAGGATCTGCTCTTCAACTTGTCTGTTGGGAATGCTATATAGTGCCTGGCGAATTGGCTCATTGAACATTGTCGTGTGGTTTGCCCGTGGGGCCTCTTGACCAGAGGCGGAAAGACTGATCGGCGGCGCTGAAGCCGCAGGAACGGCGCATGGCTCGATACGGTTGAGTCCTTCGTTTTCGAATACAGAGCGGGAAACAGTCATCAGATCACGCATACGGCCCTCGGGCGTAATATCGTGAACAGCCCGAGCATCATTGCGTTCGACAATATTGAGCATAGAATGCGACAAAACAGAATTGCAGAGCGACTTGTCTTCATCATAGACAACATTCAGACGGGACAACCGGTTGGACTGGCCACGCCGGCGAGCTGCACGTTCATAAACACCAAGATGGGACAATTCGCTGGCTTCTCCAGCGGAACTGTCCACAAATCGGAGGAAAGAGAATGCGCCATTCTCACGTGCACTCTCTTGAATGTTCTCTGGGGCCCAGACATTCATCATGTGCGAGAGATACTTGTTCCGGAAACCAGCAGTGGGGTTGTCAGGACCTGGCATGTCAACACGTGCCGCCGAGCTGAGCAGCATGCGCGGTAACTCATACTCGATATGATTCTTGGTCGAGTAGCGAACATCAACAAAGGATCCCTCACGAACGAAAGAAGCACACTCCGCGAAAGTAGCCGCCGAGAATGGAGACTTGGTTTCGGCACGTTCAAACAGATCAGGGTGATTGCAAACCTTACGGAACTGCATGACGAGGTTCATCAGTGTACTACTATCGGTATCGTCACCGCTAGCCGCCTTCTCGATCAGATCAATGATGCTAACGCGATTGCGCAGCTTGGTGTACAGAGCACGTTGGCGGTAGGTCAGGTCACAGAAAATATCCTTCTCCACCTTATCACCAAGCTCTTGTTGTACATTCTTCTTCACACGACGAAGCATGAAAGGCTTCAAAATCATATGTAGACGGCGTAGTTGATCCTCGTTCAGCTTGGTGTTACTTTGGGCATGAGACTCAATGTCCTTCGAGAACCATTCGCTGAACTCGTCGTGAGAGTCGAACAAGGTAGGCATGATGAAATGCAGCAAAGCCCACAGTTCTTGCATGTTATTTTGAATAGGAGTACCGGTCAGCAACAAACGGTTTCGGCACGAAAAGCCCAATAGGTTCTTCCATCGAGAACTCTGCGATGACTTGATAGCCTGAGCCTCATCAAGAATCATGTACTGCCACTTCACCTTCTGGAAGTACTGTGCGTCGAGCACCACAAGCTGGTAGGAAGTTACCAGAACGTGGAATTCAGACTCACGATTGTAGGTAATGTGCTTGCGATCCCAGAACTTGCGGAGAACCTTGCGGTCCCGTGCGTTACCCCAGTAGGGCAAGACCTTCAGATTGGGAACAAACTTGGCGATTTCCTGCTGCCAGTTGTGCAGGGTGGATGCAGGAGCAATGACCAGGAATGGTCCCCAAATGTTGTGGAACTCGGCGAGATAGGCCATGACGGAGATAGATTGAATGGTTTTTCCGAGACCCATCTCGTCTGCCAGGATACCATTAATACCCTGCTCGTACAGATTGACCAACCAGTTGAGACCCTTCAATTGATACTCCTTCAGCTGCGCGTTCAACATGGTAGGCTGAGAGATTTCAATGTCACCCAGACTCGTAGGATTCTGGAAGTTCAATTCTCCCTCATCGAAAGCGGCCATCTGGTCGCCACCCTTCTCCTGGTTGAAGGCGCGGGCGCGATCTTGGGCTTGTTGCACAGCGTTTTGGGCATTGGCCATGGCCGCCTGCTGCAGGGCAGATTCATCTTCAGCATCAAAGTCCAAGTCTTCGAAATTGGTGACCTTGCTGCTCAAATCAGCCACGCTACTGGGAAGGTTAACGGAGTGTGCGCCAGGTTTGCCAGCCTTGACGGTCTCGCCCGTAGCAGCAACCGACCCATCGCCAGCAGCTTCAACCTCGTCAGTCTTGATTTTCCGGCCGATAAAGTGAGAGTACAGTTCAGTTTGGGAGATGAGGAAGTTAAGCTTGCGCTTCTGTCGGTTGGCTTCACGCTCTGCCTCGGCCTTCTTGGCAGACTCAAGCTCCTGCTTCTCTGCCACACGACGCAGATCACGCTCTTCTCGTTCATTACGTTTCCAGAAGGACATCATCTCCCTCATGGTACGCTTAGCACGGGCTTGCGTGTCCTTAGTGCTCTTGTTGGTGCGCTCTTGCCACTTGCGGGACTGCTTGCTAGCCAGCTGAGCAGTCTTGCGCAAGTTCTCTTGGCGCGTCGACAACGACACAGTCTTGATGCGATAAACCTTGGGGATATCTTTGCGAGCGATGTCACGCCAAATTTGTTCATAGATTTGGTTGTATCCTTTGCTGTCGTACTGCAATGGAAGGCTGGGCGTGCCCTCCTTGGAGAGGGCACCCTTCTTGGAATCGCGCGGCATGTAATAATCGTCATCCAGACCGGCAAGGTAAGCAGCCTCTGCAGCATCCTTTTCAGCTTGCTTTTGCTCCTTGGACTTCTTCGGGCGAGTGGAAGGACCGGCACGTCCAGAGCGACGGCGTGAGGGAGATGAACGACCGATATGGAAGGAGCTGGTAGTCCCACCCTCAAGGTTGGGCGCAAGCGGAGTGATTTCACCCATATCGTCCTGGGCACTTCCACCCTCGAGGGCCCGCTTAGTAGATTTAATTTTCTTCTGGGCACGTTCGGCCTCACGAAGGAATTTGGCCTTCTCCGCCGAATCCTGCGCGCTGTCCGCCTTGCGTTCGGCCTCAAGCTTCTTTTGCATCTCCAGGCGCACAGTGTTTTCCCGGCGGCGCTTGCGTTGCATATCCTTCTTCCGTTCCTTCTCATCGTGGACTTCTTTCTGTTGAACCTCTGCGATGACAGCACCTTCGTGAAGGGCGCGGAACCGGTCTGTTCCAAGAATGTAGCTTTTCTCAAGGTTCTTTGCCAGATCGATTAAGAAGTCGTGGCGACGGCGCTTGCGTCGAAGACCCTCCATATGATCGCCCTCGTGAGCTCGTCTACGAGACTTCTCCAGGTATTGGTTCTTATCCGCGTCGAATTCGGGGCTCTCCACGTCGCTCTTGTCACCATTGTCGATCTCCATCACAGCACGGTGAACCTGCTCGGCATCGACCCCGGGAGGAAATGGTTTCCGCTGTGGCACCCGGACAATAGTCTCCATTGGGTCTTCTGCTTTGAAGCCGTTGGAAACATGTGGCCCCAAGGAATCCGGATAATGGTTCTCTTGACCAGCGCCCTTTGTCTTGTGGTAAAACGTTCCGGCAACAGGGGTCAGCTCAGGCCGTCGGTGGTCGTAAACGGATGGTGTGTGAACTGCGGGTGTGGAGGGATGGGATGGTTGGGGAGAGGGCTTCCGTGCGGGTTGGTCTTCTGTTGGCCCAGACAGGATACTGGCAAATGACATGGGATCCGCAGCTCTGGCAGGTTTCTAGACGTGGGCACCATCGTTAGATAAGGTCTTTCTTTATAGTAAGTCAATGTGATTCAGGATCGCTGATACGTACCGATTCCCGTGGAGGAGATGCAGGTCTAGATTCCCGCATCATAGATGTCGCATATCCCGCTCCGTTCCCTCTTGCTCGGAATGGCGATTCTGACTCACGGGTTGGGGATTGTGAGTGGGCGTCCGGATGGTTCGAGGGATGCCCGTGAGGTGCCGCAGCACTGTAGGGAGAGGTGCCGTTGCCCGGCAGCACGGAGCTCGGAAAGGGTCGCGGAAGAGGAATTTGCGAGGCAGCACCCGGGGCGTGTGCCTGGTATTGTGACTGATCCGCATGTGGCGGCGCAGCCCCATTCAAGGGCGGTGGTAGAGAAGCCGGCATGGGTGACGACGCGTGGGCGAAGCGAGGGCTTCGGGACACGGACGATGGGCCGAAAGCCGGGGGTGTCTGTGGGGGATGCTGCGAGTATGGCTGCTGTTGAGGGGGTGGCTGCTCGCCGTTGGGATAAAATGGGCGGTTCTTGCTGGGAGATTCGTAGGTAGGGAACCGATGCTGTTGAGTCGGCGACTGAGCGTTATATGGTGGAGCGCCGGTCATGTTGGCCGTGTCCCCGGCGCCGGACAAGCGCGGCAGGGGCTATTCAAGCGAAAAGAAATAGAAGGCGATGAATTGAGACGAACAGAGATCAGACGGCAGAGGTGACACCCATGGACAGGTTGTCAAGGGGGGGTGGGACTCTCGGAGATTCTAGCGCGAACGCGACGTCAGCGTGTATGGTCGGAGTTGTAAAATGGCGAAAGGGCGGGTGGAGAGATGCGAAAGGACGGGGGCACGGTTGATAATGAAGCAGAGATGATAATACCTGATGGGATGATGGATCCGTTTGTGGTGGGAAGATGCAGGAAGAAGGGATCTTTGTAGCCGCGGAGACCCAAGCAGAGAATGCGCGGCTGAGCTAGCGAGGATGCAGGTTGAGGTGATTCCCAACTTTTTTTGATTTAATATATTTTGGATAAAGGGTTGGATTGTAGTGTATGAGGGGGTTGGGGAAGAAGGAAGGAAATGGGACGAAGGGGAAGAACCGTAGGATTTGGTCTGCCCTTGTCCAGCATCTCTTGTCTCCGATGGCTTTCGTCCATCCGGCACTCGCGCTTCCTTATTATTTCTATTTCTGGAACGACCTAGATTCACTTGATTGAGAACGTCAACGATGTAGAAGTATTCAATGTCTCTATCGCTCAAAGGTCTCCTTCCTTCCTTTTTTTCTTTCATGAAACCAATTCCCCCATGGCCTGCAGGTGAAGCGGGAAGCTTTCCATACAAAAACACTGGGGAAACCGACGCCGTAACCATTTGATTAGGTCGATCGGACACATCGTTCCCACAATCTGAGAATACTTTTCTCTTCCATTTATGTCTTGGGTATGGCACCTCCTCCAGGCCATCACTTTCATTTCTTCCCCGATTAGCGTTCCTGTCCATCCCGACAGACTCTATTTCATCTTGGCCGATCCCGGTCCACCACCATTTCCACTGGGAATACGGGAACAGAAGAAATTCCCTTTTTCCAGGGAAAAAAAAAACCAATCAAAATGTCTACGGGAATTACCAAATCATTCTAGCGCACCACGATCTTCCGTGCGACCTGGTCATGCTGATAATCCCAGCTGACGCCCAGGGGAGAAGAAAATCCAATCTGGGAAACCAAATGTGGAACCAAGAGACCAGTTAGGTTGGATACTTCGCCTCGAGAGCCCCTACGGTCGTGGAGGATGATCGCTCATTTGTCTCGGCTAGTTTTGATCCACTTGATGCATCTCGATCGAATATTATCCAGCATTGGGGATGTCTTATATGGCTCAAATTCGATCGTGGTCTTTTCCACTCCAGGAACCGCATGATAGTGAATGATCCCGTCTTCTTGGTGGTGAAATACCGCATGTAGGCAAAATTATCCGATGATCCATCTCAATATATATCAAGGTCCGGCACTGGCGTTGACAACCTTAAAATGTACCTATGTTGCTAGGGGGTCCGTTCGAGATCTAAACTCCTGGTCAATGGCCTGAGGTTCTTGGAAAGTTGGTCTGCGCAATCACTTCGGTCCAAACGTCTACTAGTACTATTCACTGGCTAAACGGCACAAAGTCAAAGACCAACACAAATCCCAATTCCGGAGAAAAAACGTGCTTGCCACTGCACTACATCAACATTCCCGTTCCGGCAGGGTAGCGGTTATACATAGCTGCGGGGTTGAATGTGTGGACGAAGGGGGGCGATTCCCCCAAGGTCCACAACATGGGAAATACCAAACTAACCCAATCAATCATTATGCCCTTAACAACTACTAGAAGCCCAAAGAACAGAAATCTTGCTTCTAGTCCATATCCCTGGTAAATCATCGCATGATTCTCGGAGATACCATGAGTTCCTCCGTGGGGAGATCCGATGGTGACGTGCTCCACTCCACATCGTTCATTGCGACACTCCTACTATGATAGTGGAGGGATCTATGCAAGTCAACTCGCCACAATGTCACAAGAGTACCAGCTACATCATCCTATGTTCGAATTGGGAGCCTTGCTTTCGTGCTCGGTGAGCTTCCGGGCTCTGTGGTCTCGTTTCATGGACTGGGGCTGCAGGTATCGGGATCTGGGGTTGAGGGGTAACCGGGGTTTAGGGTATCAAAATCCTGCTCAAGGAACAAAAGTACTAACTCAGGATGATTCAGGATCAATGTTCTGTTATGTAGAAGGTAAGGGGTTACCGGATACTATCATTGCGAGGGGAGAGAAGAGCAAGGTCCAGTTTGAAGGATTCATCCATGGATCAGGAAACAGGAAACTACGCATTGGGTGACAGAGTAACAGAAGCTGTCATGCTTGGAGGCAGACGGTGGGTACCTGCTCGATCTGGCCGGCAATCGGTGGCACCACATGTATGACATCTTGTGTACATGGGTTTAAATTGAGAGCATTTCCCTTATTTCGTTCCACACTCGCACGTCTTCTTTTACTTTACACACATCCTACAGACTCTTTTCCTCTACATATTTCTTCCATCATTCCACTCACCACCAATTTGACCATCACAAATCACAACTAAAATGACAATCCACGCCGTTCCAGACACTCAATGGGCCCAAGTAGTCGAAGAAAAAGGCAGACCCCCAATCTATAAACAAATTCCCGTCCCAACACCCGGCCCTGATGAAGTCCTCATCAAAATCAAATACTCAGGCGTCTGCCACACCGACCTGCACGCCATGAACGGCGACTGGCCCCTCCCTCTCAAGCTCCCCTTGGTAGGAGGCCACGAAGGAGCAGGAGTCGTGGTAGCAAAGGGTCAACTCGCTCAAGGAATCGAGATCGGCGACCACGCAGGCATCAAGTGGCTCAATGGATCGTGTCTTGCCTGTGAGTTCTGCAAGACGGCTGATGAACCGCTCTGTGCGGAGGCACAGCTTTCGGGTTACACGGTTGATGGCACATTCCAGCAGTATGCCATCGGGAAGGCAGCCCATGTCACTAAGTTGCCCAAAGACATTGCCATGGATGCTGTGGCACCCATCCTTTGCGCAGGTATCACTGTTTACAAGGGGTTGAAGGAGTCTGGGGCTCGACCTGGTCAGACGGTTGCGATTGTTGGGGCTGGAGGTGGGCTCGGCTCGTTGGCTTTGCAGTATGCTAAGGCTATGGGATTGCGAGTTATTGCTATTGATGCTGGTGATGAGAAGCGTGACATGTGTGAGCAGCTTGGTTCGGAGGTGTGTTTTCTTCCCCCCTTCTGGAATGGTGTTGGCCAGGAACTAATGACATAGTAGACGTATGTCGATTTCACCAAGTCCAAGGATCTGGTTGCGGATGTGAAGGCGGCTACCCCAGAAGGTCTGGGTGCTCACGCGGTGCTTTTACTCGCCGTCTCTGAGAAGCCTTTCCAACAGGCTGTTGCATACGCTCGTCCACGAGGTGCAGTTGTTGCCATCGGTCTACCTGCCCACGCATTTCTGAAAGCACCCGTATTTGAAAGCGTTGTCCGGATGATCAACATCAAGGGCAGCTACGTGGGCAATCGCCAGGATGGTGTCGAGGCTATTGACTTCTTTGCTCGAGGATTAATCAAGGCGCCATTCAAGACTGTTCCTCTCGAGGAACTGCCTAAGGTGTTCGAGCTCATGGGTAGGTGCTAAACCCAATACGTGAAGATGATGTGCTAATACAATGCAGAGCAAGGCAAGATTGCTGGTCGTTATGTGCTAGAGATGCCTGAGTAATCAACCTGCGATTGAGACCACGCCATGAACTACGCATCTTTTCAAGAACCCCTTGGACTCGACCGCAGATATTTGCTTAATAGCAAATGACGTGAGCGACGAAGCCACGGCTCCTGATGAAGGATACCACGAGAAACGAGACACCTTAGCAATGAAATTAGGTACACGACGCAAGAGATTTAGTTCACAATAGGAATTTAGCAATATAAATTATCTACAGCACCCTTAATCCGGACACTAGTGTTCCGATACTACTTTCGCTGCAGCCATCTTACCCTCATCCTCCGGCCCTACCGTAGTTTGAGGTCCAGTGAAAGTTTTTCTCGCATAGAGAACATAATATAGAGCAGAGCCAAGCCAAAGAGCCCCGTTTATAACAATAGTATAGTTCATATCCTCAGCTATTCCGACAGTCAGTAAGATGGTCACTGCAAAAATATATATTCAGGAACTCACGAGTCGGGTTGGGCCCTTCAGTCGGGAACATGCAGAGTATGATAGCAAATATCATGTAAATAACTGCAACCCATGCAATGGGCTTACTCAGATATTTTCCCGTATAGAACTCCCCAGGCACAAAGCGGTCTTTACCCCAAACGAGACGTGCCAAGATAGGGGTTAGCCATGAGAGGTCATTAGCGGCGACAGCGAGCGAGAACAGGGCATTGGCAGCGGCAGCGTCGATTAGGGATAGGAGACCGATCAAGACCGAGATAAGGACCACGCCGCAGATCATGTTGACGGGTTGGTAGCGCATAAATTTATGTTGGCTGACTTTGCGGAAGAATGATGAGAAGGGGAGGGCGCCATCACGAGAGAATGCCCAGCTTTGTCGAGAGGCGGCGAGGACCTATAATAAATTGAATATTAGACGGTATCTTCAATGTCTGGTTAAAGAGACTTACAATACTTAATCCCATGAAGAACTGGACGGATGCTACCACAGCCATAAAGCCAAGGGCACCTTGCTTTCCAAGAGCATCGTAATAGATCTAGCAAGAAGTTAGTACATGCATACTTAAAGCGATTTTCAGAAAGAAACACACCTGAGCCATAGGCTGGCCAAACTTCGAGCTAAGAATTGCCTCAATGTCCGTATCCATGCTCGCTGCAATAACAGCCAAGCACAAAAACCCGAGGATCCCACACAGCCCAGAGGAAGCAATAATACCCAGCGGCACAGCCCTCGCTGCATGAGTCGCCTCCTCACTCATATGGACGCAAGAATCAAACGCACCAATAGTCCAGATAGGTGACAACCACGCCAACATAAACGCCCACCCAGTAGGCCAAGTAGTAAGATTCTCAACCTGACCAAAAACATAACTGCCCGAGTTGACCGGCGGCGCGTTCTCATGTTTACCAATAGGCAGCGCAATGACCGTCGCAACGACCAGTCCAATATTCAGAAAGATACACATGGACTGAATCTTTGGCATGACCCGTCCAAAGAATGTAGCGATAAATCCATGCGCGCACACAGTCGCGACATAAGTCCCGTAGATAACGGGACGAGAAGCGGTCCAGTTCCCATCCCGCGCGATGGAGATCATGGAGAGAAGCATATTTGCGAATCCGTAGTCAATTGAGCAGATACCGCCGATCAACCCAATGGTATTACTATACCCTACCACGAAACTGAGAGGGTTCTTCCATTTCTCAGCAGAGTAGTAATGTGTCCAGAAATATAGACCACCGGCTGTGGGCATGGCGGAGGCCATATCGGCCATTGCGAGACTGACGATGAAGATGAAACAACTTGCTATCAGCCAGCCCCAGACCATACCGACGGGACCGGCGGGCATCGAGAAGGAGAGGGTGGATGCGATAGAAGGGAGGAGACCCATGATGCTGAAAGCGACGGCGAAGATTTGGACAGTAGAGTAGTGGCGGCGGAGTTCTTGCTTGTAACCCAGAGTCGCTGTCACAAATCATACATTAGCATCGCTATCACAAGGCTGTGGTGCAGAAACGGTGACAATGAATTAATTACCCAGTAACTCTGTATCTCCAGCCGGAGCATCTGGAGCCTCAACAATAGCTCCATGCTCAACAGGCGTTATTGGCCTCAGATCAATAGGTTTTTTGACATCCGCCATGATGTACCTGGGTATAGACAACGGGGTCGGAAACAAAAATCAAATTACAGAATACGACATCCGAGGTTGATATAACAATTGGGAGACCGAAAGTTCAAAGCATAAAGGCAGAAAGGAAACTTGCACAGCAGATGCTCGGAAGATAAAGTATCAATCCGAGAGCAGGGGGCCTAAGCAGCCCATATCGATACCAATGCCACTATCTAATCAAAGCATGGAACAAGCTTCCAGGATTCCGAAGCCTATCAGTGACATGCATCGGGGCCAAGAAAAGTCATGCAATTTGCAGGTACGAAGTAAGTACAAACCGTGCCGCCCACAGCCAAAGCGCATGTGGTATAAACAACGATCCCCTCGTCTAGTGCGGAGTTGGAGCCATGAGCCGAGCGCCAAGGAATAGGCCTGCAAGGTGGAGGCCGGGGCAAGACATGGAGGATCTAAGTGGCTGCAAAATCTAATCCTGACTGGGTCGGGATTGGAGGCGCGGTCATTCCGCGATAGCTGCTGTCAGATAGATAGGCGTGGTTGATCTGGTTGGTGTGTGATAAGGGGTGTTGGGGTTATTTGGAGTAGAATTCAGGAGCTGACGAGTGCGCTTATCTCAAAGAGCTGTAGGCATAGTTGATTTCGGGCTCGATCTATCTCTTTTAAACTGCTAACTTGGGGACTTTCAAGGTTTGGATGTGTATAGCGGGTTTGGTTGGAGCGGGTCGAAGCTAAACCCCGGAATCTCTATTATGGAGTCGGTTAGTCGGCTATGTACATTAAACGCTTGCTAGCATTAGGCGGGCAGCACTTGACAATCAAGGATCCATTACTTTCCTTCACCAATCCAACACATCATCGGTTTGCTTGAATATTCGTGACATGATACTAGTACAGGTAGACCAGAATCCGTGAATCCATCCGAAACCCGGAAATCGTACACAAAGCCACCAGGGCCTGAAAGCTTCACCAGAAGTGACCACATCAGCCTTGGAATACGGGACAACTCGAAACAAAGTCGAAACAAAGACAAAGAACGAATACTGATGTTCCAATGTTACGATAATGCAAACCCAAAACAGCAAAGGCTAAATATACATTTCATATTGAAGAAACATAAACATGCAGGAAGGAGTAGCCTTCTAAAAAGGTATCATCAAATCAGACCGCGCCGGGTCCTTTATGGTTGGATTGATCAAGCAACAATTTCGGCTTGATGTAATCCTCGTCAATCTGGCGGAACCATGCCGCATGATCACCGTTCGCACCGCCAGAGAACAGATCCCGGAGAGCGTCGCGAGCGGTTAGACCAGTCTGCTGCTCTCGTCGGGCAGGGGAGGCGCTGGCGGAGCCCTCGGCGGGTATTGGGGTATGTGGTCCCGAGGGAGGGTTGGATGGAGATCGTCGCATACGAGACGCGGCGGCTTTTGCGGCGGGTGGAAGGTCGTCATCGGAGACGCCATCGAGATCGAGGTCAAACTCGTCGGGGTGGGCGACTGGGCTCGCACGAGCCTTCCCACTGGGCGGCAGACCGAACTCGTCGTCGCTGCCCGCGGTGCCGGTGTTCAGTAGGGTTGCTGTTGACGAGCGATCACGCCGCGTTTGGGTATCTTTAGTGCTGTACGCGGCCGAGTACATTCGGGTGTGGCCGTGGGGTGGACTGGGACGCCGGCTGTTCCCAGTAGAGTAACTGCCTCCTCGTTCACCGAGCCCGTTGCGTTGGGGGTTAGGGGTGACTCCATCCAGAGGGATAGTCGAGTCGCTGCGTCGCGGAGTATATCCGAAAGCAGTATCGGAGCGTTTGTAGTAGGTACCACCGTGGGCCACCTCAATATCAAACTCATCATCCGAGTCAATCTCCTCGACGACGCCGGTCCGAATGCCCATGATTTCCAGCATGCGTGCCGTTGTTCCACCAAAAATAATGACGGTCAACACGACTACCACCAAAACGGTAGCTCGCAGCGTCGGTGCGTTAGCACCCGAGAGGCCTGCCGCCAATGCGACTCCGACAGCACCACGCAAGCCAGCCCAGAAGAGCATAGCCTGGTATGCGAAGGGCAACTCATCTGCGACTTCGATACCCCGACGACGAGCTCTGTACCGAATGAACCAGTTGATCGCCTTCGAAAGGGGGAAAACAGCAAGATAGCGGGCAAGGCAGATTCCGACAACGGATATCATAATGAAAAGCGGGTTGAATTGCAAGTTGGACTCGACAAACAGGTCCAAACCGAGGTAAATGAAAATAAAGTTCTCCGAAAGCTGCGCCATGACCTGGAAGAGGTACTTGGTAGTCAGCTGCGTACGGCGGGACATGTTGTAGTATGCGTAATGCTTCAAAGTGATTCCGCAGAACAGAAGTGACACAATTCCTGTAGATCGGGACATTAGTATTCATTGTAATCCCCGACTGCCGAAAGGACCGCAGAGGTGACACATACCAGACAAGTGCACGCCGTTCGAGAAGAAATAGCTGGCATAAGAGATAAGAATAATAAGGCAGCTTTCGATCTTCGGCATACGGCGGACCAAAGTATACTTGAGCCCCAGGGCTGTGGCGATGCCAACAATGATACCAACAAGCATGCTACCAAAGAAAACCAGCAAGAAGAGACCAATAGCTTCGAAGAAATTCAAGAAGCTCAGCGAGCCAGCATCAGTCTCCGCATATTTCTGCGCAGTTTCGAACAACACGATAGCAATGGCATCGTTGAGAATCGATTCTCCAAAAATGATCGTGTAGAGCTTCGGCTCGACCTTGTAGAGGTTAAAAATGGCCAAGATAGTGACCGGGTCTGTAGCGGAGAGTGTCGCGCCAACAGAGATCGCTTCGACGAAAGAGATGTTCAACCCGTCCAGCGGGATACGCGTCCAGAGGTAGAGAACGAGGCCAAGGACCATGGCGGAGATGAAAGTACCGGCGAACGCGAAGGTGAGAATGGTGCCGATATGGCGGAAAAAGTTCGCTTGATGGAGTTCATATCCGGAGGCGAGGATGATAGGTGGTAGGAGGAGGTTGAAGAAGAACTGGTAGTCGAATGCGACGCTATCTTGGAGGGTAGATTGGGAGGTTAAACGGATGATCAGACCAACGAACATGCCTGGTAAGATAACAAGTCAGCATCGAGCCCAATTGAGAATTGTCCATCATTCTTTTGGTGAAACATACCCGCGAAAATTGATAAAACCGTTTCGTGGACGGCTTGGATCTTCTTCTGCTGGAGGATGTAGCTCGTGAATAAGGCGAACATCAACAGCATGATCATAATAAACAACGCCCAGGAGCTGGTAATCTCCTTGGATCCCGCCTCGGGGGCATCTGTAAAAGGCCAAAAAATAACATCGGTCAGATTATCATCTCATCACCGCATCGCGCAGGGAACACGTTGTCGTCATCGACGGAAAGAGGGAGGGGGAAGCTCTCAGCATGCGTACCATCGGGGTCAGTGTCCTCCGACGCTCGCCCTATAAGATATGAAGCAACGTTAGCTGGCGTTCCATGCAGATGAAATTCAGATCAAGACCGATGGCCGTAGACGTACGCAGCAGAGCGTGGAGGGTTTCGCCCATGAGCTGACTAGCCATTGCGACTCTGTTAGGAACGTTCGGCCGCGGATGAGACCTGACAGTTAACTCCAGCGAGTTTGAGATGCCAGAAACAGGCGCGCATAATCCACTGGGTAGAGCGCAAGGTGTGTAAAGAGGCGGCGCAATCAGGTACAAACAAAGTTAGAGGTGGCCAGCTTGAGGTGAGGTGAGTTGCATTCGAGCGGAGGGACGATCGAGCGTAAGGGGCGGGTATTTCGGTGACAAAACCCGATTACAGGCGGGAAGTCTGATCACCGATGAACGTGTAATCAAGTAAAATACAGTACGTGAATTTGGAAAACACTATTTGTGACACGTGGGCCACTTTAAGAATGCCGCGCAACCCGCCAAGACTTGAGCGGGCTGCACTGGCGAACCTTGGTTGTAGATGTTGATAACCGTTGAAACTGTATTCTTTGGGAACATCCGAAAGAGGGGCGAAATCCAAAATAAGGGGCATAGGGATCATGCACATAATAACTTGCAGCAGGTATATCATATCCCTCGTCACCTCCCTACATTCAAGCTCTGATTGATGACGGCATAACCCCTGACCCACACTTTGCTGTACATGTACGAACATCATTGGCATGTTTTGCAGAGAAAGATGAGGATCAACCTCGCGTGAAATCCCAGTCCACTCAGTGATTCTACAGTACACAGTCCTTGGCGATGGAATATACAGTCTAAAAGCCGATCGATACATGGTCCAGCTGTGTTAAAGTCTCCAAGATCATATACGGTAAATGAATTTCCATCCGGATTACTCATTTTCGACCGATGGGATGTACCGAAATGATATGATACTGAACGTGAAACACGATGTTCGTGGATTTCCAAGCCTCTGTATCTTCCCCAAACCTTGGAATCACCGTGTACCCTCCGCTAATCGCTTAGTTAATACCGCCGCTACCAATGCTGCACATCCGCCAAACCGTAGCACCCAGCCCACGCTATCATCCCAGGGCTCCCCACGCGGTTTCTGGGCGGCCTTGAAGATAGCACTGCAAATAAGACTAGAAAAGATCTGGGGGAAGGAAATGGCCACATTATGTAAACCGAGGACGATGCCAGCTTGGATCAAGTTGTCTGAATCAGCATCGGCGTGAGTTTTAGAGCGACCTTCCTCGAGATCGTCAGCGCTGGCACCGTCTGAAGTGTGATGATGATCTTCATCCTCGACGGAGACAGGTGCATAAGAGTTGGATGTCATGTGGGGACCCGGAGCAGAGGCCGGATGTCCGTCGGTGCTGGCCGCGTGCCGTCGCAACCGACGTTCTAGATCTATGCGCGAAACCTCCGCCGAGATCAAGGCAAATGGCGCCCATAGAGTTACTGCCCATGAAATTCCAATGAAACCTATAGCAATGGAACCGGCCTGGTAGGATGAGATGAAAAATGTACTAAACGTGCATATCGCAAATAGGATGTGCGACAGAAGCCACGTGCGGCGAAGTGTAAGACCGGGAATCTGCAGGCGTGAAAGCCATGTAGTGTTTTCTTCGTCTATGTTCTTACCTGAGCGTGCATCAAGCAGAGGCTCTGATGTCACTCCAGTCGGCATCGCAGATATTGATATCCGGCGGGTATGCTCCTCTTCATCATCGAAAGAAGCATCTCGATCGTCTTGGTGCGCAACAACTTCGACAGTAGGTTGGTAGGTGGGAACGACAAAAATTGGGAGTACAGTGTTGGCGGTGAATGAAATAACAGCGTAAATGAGGAGCGCAAATGTTCCGATGCGTGTGGCATCTTCCCACGCCTTATCAATCTGATCCTCGGGGAGGTGCGGGTTTTCTTGGAAGATTGGATTGACGTAGAGCTGCCCAATGTATGTAGTAGCGTAAAACAGGAAGGGGAACCAGCCCACCCAAGCTGCAATCTGTACCTCACACACTCGTGCAATCTGCGGTGGCAGAGTGCGAATGGACTTAAAGGTCTGTTTGAAGAATGCGATGACTCCAAGTCCATCTGAGGGTGGTGGACCATCAAGTCTGGGGTCTCGTTCTTGAATAAAGGAGCAGCTGGCAACCAACGTCACACCAAGTGCGATGGATGCAAAAGCACAAAGAACTTTGAACTGGGTATTCCCAAGGAAGGGAAAGTATTTGGGCAAATGCATGTAGCCAAAAACATAGCCGATGATGTTGCCTACTCCCGTCCACCGACTTGCCCATGCATTGGCCAGTTCCTGCTGGTGAGCCGGGCAGTTGTCGAGAATGAAAGCTCTAATTCCCGCTTGCACTTTATATATTGCCGATCAGTTCACATAACGACAGAAACCCATGTTTTTGGACCCACCGGTGTTGATAGCAAAGTCAAGACAGAACATCAAAAGTGTCGCAACGATCATAATTGTCGTCTTAGTGCCGCTTGAAAGCGGATCCACACCAAATATCGACAGAAACCCACCAACAATCTCTTTCACCCAGGCGAGTAGAAGTAAAGACACAATGGTAGCTGCACCCCCAGCCACCATGAACGGCTTTCTCTTGCCCCATGGTATCCGGCAATTATCGCTTCGAATGCCGACGTAAGGTTGAACTAATGTACCCGTCAAGGGCCCAGCAATCCAAACGCAAGCAAGTAGGGCCTTGCTCATGCCAAGAGACAGGAGGAATGGCTATCGCAAGGATAAAAGGTTAGCACTGCCGTGATGCCCTGAGCAGCCACGTCTGGGCAAGGCGGGAAATCTTAAATCAGAGTAACGATTATGGCAACGCTTACCGATCCATTGGACAATTCCACAGACCAGACTACCTGAAGACTAGTACGAGAATGATGTAAGTAATAGTCATCGTCCAACAAGCGATCTAGGGCCGCTGTTCATGAAACCGGACTTGAGGAGAGCTTACCCCCCAATCGAGACGGTGAGCAAAAACAAATACCAGCTGCTCTTCGACTCATCACGAGCCATGGAGTTTCCTGGAGGAAGCAGGTTTTCACCCTCCACCTCCTGCCGCCCAGGCATCAAGGGCGACGTTTCGTGAACAACTGAAAATATGTTGGTTTCCCCCATGGGGTACGGTTAAAGTGCGATAAGAAGGCAGACCCACAGCGATTGTCAAAAGTTCAACCGTGACAAAGGATAGTCCACACGGAGCTTGGGCTCGACGCTAGAAAAGTAGTGTGTATGGTCGAGGGGAAAAATCGGGCCGCAATGAATGTAGACAAGCTTGGAGGCCGGGGTTAGGTGGGTTCCGACAAATCATTCGCTGGGGAGGTAATGAGGCGTTCGATCATGGGGTCCACAGTCGGGAAGCCGGATTTGCTCTGGTCATAGGTCACACCACTATAAGATGCAGTCCTATCGTCCTCATGATCTGGTTAATGGACACGGTGTAGACGGCTTTCAGCTGAATCGATGCGTCTCAGGGATCGACGTCAGCACGCACGTGATGACCACCCGATTTGGATAGTAGCTTTGAGGCTGTACCAAGAAGTGGACTCAGGCACCGTTTCGTAAATATTGCATAGTACTATTATTGGATGGAGCTATGATCAAAGGTAAAGTGTCTTTTCGAAGTCGCTTGGAAGCAAATCGAAGGGGTCGAACACAAAGCTTAGGTGCCTTGTCGTATTACGTTGGGTCGTATATCGCCCCACCTCGTCCCTGGCCGTCGTTCCTGGTAGAGATCCGTTACTAAAAAAGGAAAACAGAAAAAGTACTGTCTAAGGGTCGTGGAAGATTATTGGACAGGGAGGTCAGGTCAGGCGGGCTAGAAGAGAAAGAAGATACAAAAGTTAAGAAGGGTCAGAAAAGTTGGACATATTTATACATAGTCTGAAGAACATTCATTCACCACAATACGTCCCTAGTAGATACTTCCTCCAGTCACGCGAGTCAAGTTCTTGCTATGTCCCTTGTGTTAACTACTTTGCAAATGCCATATTGTTAGGTAGTTTTATAGTCAAGTCAATTCGTTAAGAGTTCTATAATATAACCATGCCGCATGAGCAGCTTCCAATCCCTGCTCTTCTCTCGAAGAGTCCCAATGTTCCAAAAAAAAATAAGCGCAGACCAAATGTGCCCCCGGACCCTTGACATTGTACGCCACACGTGCCCGTACCCGCCAGGCAGGTTCGTTGTTGGGGGTCGGAGTAAGCACCGATTGCGGCGAGACGATAATACAAGGTTGTACCATAACCAAAACAAAGCCGTAAATCCCAACAGATAAATGACAAAGAAATAAAAAATGTAAGAGAGATGCCATGCAGGATGTGCAAGAATAGCAAAGTTTGGACAAGAGGAACGTCGTGGTGCGAAGAAAAGCGGAGGTGAACCCATTAGACACCTGGACCAAGGTCGCTTACAGTGCGCCTGTAGATCCAAAAGAAAGAGACGAGGCCACGCCAAAAAAACACAAAAAACAAAAAAAGGTACCCGTTCAGCAGGTTTTACATCTGCTGTTGGAGAAGCTGAGGAGCAATCATGTGAGCCCCAACCATGTTCTGGTGGACGGCAGAGGGCATGCTCATGGGTGCAGCCATGGATGTCATGGCAGGCATGTTGACCATGTGGGGAGCGTGAATAGGCTCCGGTGCTGGTGGAGATGACTCTTCACCAGCGGAGTCGAAATCGTTCCCATCATTCTCCAGCTCCTCCTCGGAGACCAAGGGCTGACCATCTTGTTGGGCCTCATGAATACGACGGTGCCTAATATAAAGTTAGGATCGGCAATCATAGGACCCGATATGGAAAACAAAAACTTACTGGGCAAGATTATCGGAGCGCGAGAAGGCCTTGCTGCAGTATGGACAGGGGTATGGGCGTTCTTGTGTGTGAGTTCTCACGTGCCTAGGCGCCCAGGTTAGTCGGCGGCTAAAACCATCACAATGCATTGTGCATCGTGCAGATCGGCGCCCCACAAGGGAAACGCCAGGGTTTCAAAAATAGATCCATGCTTACCTCTTTAGATGTTCTAAACGCTTGAAGAGTCTGCCACATGACGGAATCGGGCATGAGTGGGATTTATGAGGGTACGGACCCAACTCCATCATCGTGGCACTGCGGGCCCGACGAGCGGGACCAGGGGCTGAGCGGTCTCCTCGGCTGGTACTAGTATTCTGAACGGTCGTCTCAATGGCGGCACTGGTGGGCAGCGCTGCCAAGTCGTCATGCGGATTTGACAGGGGTACCGATTGTGGCTCCACGCTACCATCTAGATGCTGCAGTGGAGTGCCGTGACGCGAGATCTCGTGCAGCAAATCCTTTTGAGGAAGCATGGCACTCGGGTATGCGCGTGCTAGGTCATGTGCAGACTCCTCCCCTTCGAGACCCGGAGCCACAGAGCTCGAAACTGAGCGACGGAGATCACTCGGCTTGTGGGCTGCGTAAGTGGGTGGGTGCGAAATGGATTGAGGTGGAGCAGAGCCATTCATCGCACCGGGAGTCCCTTGAGAAGGCCCCGGAGTGATAGATGGTCGTCGCCGCCGCTGTTTGTAAGTCGGTGACCCTTCGATCACCGAGTAGGGGTTGGAAGAATAGGGCCGAGGCGCGGCTTGATAAGGACCATTGGCGAAATTGGATGGAGGAAGTTGCATCATAGGGTTGTACGGGGCCGCATGGGAGAGATCCGGAATCGCGGTATACAAGCCGGTATCTTCGTTGGCGATGTACGCAGGCTCCGCGCCGAGTCCGACCGAGTGCTGAGGCGGGGTAACTGGCTCAAATGACAGGCCGCGATTGCTGTAATCCTCATACTGCGAGGACACAAAGGACGGCGCAGGCGAGTACTCGTAGAAGGTCGGCATAGACGAATGGCGCTGGTGGATGCGGGCGACAGGCATCCCGTTGCGGTCGTACTGAATGGTTCCGTAGTCCTGCTCTCGCTTAATGATGCTTTGGACCAGGTTGTTCGAAAGGGGCATCGGCTGGTTGCTGTACATCGGGTGGGCCGACTCGTCCTGGAGAAGAGGGATCGCTGGGGGAGCCATCTGGGGAGGAGGCATTGCGTCAACGGTCCGAACCACGGGGGAGTTGGGCTGGCCATATGTCGTACTTGCGTGGGCACTTGCGTGAGCAGCAAAAGAGGACGAGTTCGCTTGTTGTGCTTTCGTCAATTGCTCGTAGAGGGACTGAGACGAGTCGAATTCAAAGGACATGGCCGGTTCACTGACAGCGACCGTAGTCGCTTCCTGATTCATCTTCTCGCGCTTCAAATCGCGCTCCAGCGCATCCAAAAACAATCGGTCGTGCGGCACGCTGTACCAGTAGAACACCTTCTGTTTCTTTTGAGTCCGGATGCAGTTGTTTTTGTACAGGAAATCCAAGAACGCGCTCTTCGGTTCCTCCAAAGTCGCGTCGGTGCCGGCTTTGAGGTTTCGCAGATCGGAGAAGATACCTTCTTCGAACTTCTTCGAGTTCTTCACCGGACGACCGAACGCTTGGAATCGAAATGCGAGGCATCGGACGATATCCGTACCGGAGATGTGAAAGAGGTTACTCCTGTAAAGAAACAATCAGTCAGACTTCTCTGGCTAGACCTGTCATTGGTGGCACTGACCATAGAATGCAAGAGACATAGTCACCGGTCGGAAGCAGGAAACGTCGAATCAGCTGGTCAGGTTGCCAGTCGACAGGCGCCGACAAAAGGAAGTATTTCACTATTTCTCGTCAACACCACTGGTTTCGTCAGGGAGATCTTTGCGCCATACGATTGTCCACTTGCTGCAGGGCGACTTGCGCGTCATGAGGAAGGTTGTGTTGCGCTTCCGTTGAGAGCATGAACGTCTCGGGTTTCTGGGGCGGTGCCATAGGGGGACCATGTTGGGGATACATTTTTCTCACGCGCTCTAATGTAAGAAGCCGTCAGCGCCGATCGGCGAAAGATGACAAGCTAGATAAGCAGGGGAGGGGAAACAAAGGGTATCTCATCCGACACCACAAGGGCGCTAGTTTCGACACTCTCTGAAACCATGTGCCACATCCAAACGTCTCCAACTTACCTGTGGAGAAAGGATTCTATCACCGTCGGATCAGAAGCGCGGATCTTAGATCTAGTCGGAAATATCGAAGCGATCAACCTGTGGTTGATTGGCAGGGATGATCAAATGCTTTTTTGGGGGAGGATCCAGCCTCCAAGGGAACAAAGGGAAAGACAGAAAGGTCAGAGAAAGGAACTGGACCAGCCGGTATAGTCTCTGAAGGGGAGAGGATTTTCTCGCGCAGCGGGAATAGAAACGAAAGTGGGAGAGATGTGTGTGATTCGAGACAGGGAGGAGGAGGAAAGAAGTAGGGGGGAGGAAATGCACAACGTCAGTTTGGTACTAATAATAATCGAAGGGAAGCGCCAGGACCCTGCTATAATGACCAGTCATAACACGATGAGGATTCTAACCAGCATTACATAAATAACATCAATTATGGGTCGAGTAGAGTTGTCATTTATGACATAACAGGTATTCACACCGTTCCTGGATTTGGTGAACGTGGTTGGCTCCGAGTCTCCACCAGGGAAGATGGGGCCGGAATGTTATGATTCGCTTCTTCTCAGGAAGTAGGAAAAATCAAAAAAACCCAGATCTTCTTTTTGTGTCCCCTCTCGGCCAACAGAGTTTCCAAGACTTGCTTTCTGCATGAGTTTGATGCATCACCGAGGGTGATCAGACTGCAGATTATCTATGAGGATCACTTGCTTCTTTCGTCTCGGTACTTAAGTACAACGGTTTACTGGTCAACTCGACAAAAGGCCCTCGACTTCCGGTGGGGTTCTACCACCTGGACCGTGTATACTCCAGTATTCGGTCAAAAACCCCCAACTCAACAATAATCAGACGAAAAACAGAAAATAAAAAATATCAAAACGTAGTGAAAAAAAAAAAAAAAAATAAAATAAAATGAAAATAAAAACAAACAAATTAGATAAATTAATAAAAACCAAAGCTCCACCAAGGGCCTCGCTCACTCATCAAACCGGGGGGTACCTGAAGCACCCGCCCTTGTTTCAGAATCCCGGGCGCTTACATGCATTGAAACGGGTTCTCCTCCCCACCTCCTCGATGCTATCCTTCTCTTGC